AAGTTCTATAATTTGTTTTGGGAAGGAGAAGATGCAAACATTCCTAGAAGAATATGGTATATTTATGGAAAGGCTGCACTTGATGTAAGCACAGTAAAATGATAAATCAGTAGATATAATGGAAAACAGTGAGAAAAGAGAAACTGACATCAGTGGTATGTCAGCTGCTACTGTGCATGAAGATAAGGCCAAGTTGGTTGATGCTCTTATTACTTCTGAAAGAAGAATCATCATTACAGAGCTCTGTGGAAGCCTTCAGGTGAGCCATGGTAATACCTAACATGCATAGCACTCAAAAGGATACAGTTCTCCAATGTTGATAAGGTGAAAAATCAGCTCATACATGGCTAAGAAGTTTCTGTAAGTTTGGCATATATATATATATATATATATATAGGGACCTCCACAAAAAAATATGATACCTTCAAAAAAGGGATGCACCTTTTGATAAATGTAAAAAATAAATTGCTATCATAGAATTTCTGTTTTGGGAAGGAGAAAATGCAGCAAATAAATGGCTGAATTAGAGGGAAGTATCATAATGAGATGGGTCAGTAGAGTTAATGGCAAAATTAGAGAGAGAAAAAAGAAATTTAGCTTAGTGATGGGCAACTATTGTGTCAGGCCAAATAGGCTGACACTCTTGTTACATCTGACAGAGAAATCATTATTGCAGAATTCTATGGAAGCCTTCAGGTTAGCCATGGTAGTAACTAACATGCATAACACTCAAAAGGATACAGTTCTCCAATGATGATAAGGTGAAAAATCAACTCATACATGGCTAAGAAAGGAGCCAAGAAGTTTGTGTGTGTGTGTGGATATATATTCATTTTAATATGCATTGTGTGTTTATAAATTTCTAATTAAATCCTAGCCAAATGACAATGTGATTTTCTCTCTAATGTGCAAGAGAAAAACATTAAAAATGTTATCTTGGTCAATATTCAAAACCTTCCGAAAAGCAAAAACTAATTTTGTATTTGAACTGCTTTTAAAAGCAGTGGAACAAACAAAAACACAAAAATAAACACAAGCAAAAAATATCAAAAACATGACAAGATGAAAATGAGGCCAATTTTACTAGAAAGTGATTTGGGCTTATGACACTGTAAAAAAATGACTATTCAATAAATGTTTTGAAGAAAAAGATAAACATAAAACAATTGTCTTTAAGACAGTAAATTTTTAAAATAAATGTTTTCATAAAATATTTCTGTTTAAAATCATTAAAATGATAAAAATAAAGCCTTTTGTAATGCCATAGGATTAAAATCTTTTTTACTATAAGCAAATCAGAAAAAATAAAATGCATTTTCTGCCACAAGAAATATTTGAAAAAATATTTTTCTTTTTTTAAAGTATGGAAGCTTAAAATGAAAAAATATGGATTTTCTTTTTCTTGTCAAGTATGAACTCAAGTGGAGAAACAAAACATTTCAACACATTTCCTTAACAGTCAGTCATGTTTTCAGTTAAGATCCTGAGCAGTCAAATTGTCACATCTGCATCTTTATTCAAATAAGAGAATAGTGCTGTCAAAAGTTTGAAATAAGAAAATATTAGCAATATAGAACATTATTACTTTTTCATTATTCCCCACCAAACCAAAATTTTTATGAGGAGGAACTGATAAGTCAAATGATAATTTGTCAGTTTTCCTGAATAGGATGTAAGAGGGGAGAAATTTTTTTTTTTTATTAGACTTCTTTACTTTAAAATTACAGATGTTATCTTTTGATCATGGTTTCATGGAAAAGCCACTTATTATTCACTCTTCAAAAATTTATACACTATTACCTGAAGGAAATCAGACCCATTGCATTGGGTTTAAATTCATTATTAAAATTTGGAGGAACAGATTTAAAAATATATTTTTCATTATGTGAATTAAAAGAGATTTACACAATATTGCATAAAAGAAATTTAAAAAAAAAAAAAAGGTCATATTTTTCAACATTATTATATTTCTGGCTGATAAAGTCCCTATTTTTTAAACTTTAAATTTATCTCCTAATTTCTATAAAGGTTAGTATTTTTTTTTATCTTAATTTTGTTTGTAATGAAAATTAGGGCATCTGTTTAAGGCTGAAATTACATTAACAGAAAAGATTAAAACTGAAAACATTTTTTTTGTTTTTGTTTAGAATGCTATTCTCAAGTTATAAATCCACAGCTGAAGTTACTTTGTATGAAAGGCTGTTCAAAAATTTGGCTTCATCTCCCCTAATCGAAAGCTGTTCAGATTCTAATTTAGGGCCAGATTTCTCTGGCATCATGGACGTTTTTTCAAAATTATGCTCACCACACTGACTACAAGGGTCTTTTGGGAGCATTGTGAAAGCAATACGTCGTGTTTTGCATTTGCGACACTGAAAGAATCTCTTTATGCCTTGATGTTTGGTTGTTGGATGATTCTCCTTCAAGCACTTTTCACCAACAGAAAAAGCTGTGTAAGAACACAGCTTACATGTGTAAAGTGTGCATTTCATTTCAGTTACTGAACGCATTTTATCTTCATACTGCTCTTTCTTTTCCAGGGTACTGAAATAAATTTCCTGCTTTTCATTTTCCAGTTCCGTGATGGCACCAACATGTGAGGATTTCATTTTCATCAGTTTCTTAACCTCTGCCGAATTCAAATCTACATTGCCAAGTAACTTTGACTTTTTGGCTGGAGGAGAGAGCAACAATGAAGAGGATGATGAAATATCTTTGCTCTCGTTTCCTTCTAACAATTCAGAAGCAACACGTTTTTTGATCTTCTCTGCTATTTTCTCATCGCTCAGCTGCTTCTTAATGCTGTTTGGGTCTGTCTTGTGCAAACCACCTTTTGACTTCACTTTGAGAATGGCACGCTGTTTGGCTTCATCTGCAGTAAGAACCAGTTTTGGTGAAGGCCGAGATACAATGTCCAAATTTATGCTAAGGCCAGGCTGCAGTCCTCGTCCAAGCACAGGGGTTGATATAGTTGAAATTTTTTTTTTCAGTTGCATTTGCTTCTTGTGTTCTTTTAAAAGCTCTGATGGAGTGACAGACTGAACGGAGATGCACTTGGTTTGACCTTTGTCTTGTTGCTGATATTTTTCATGCTTAACCAAATGCTTAACAAGATTCATTGAACCCAAAGACGGAGTGCTCAAAAGATCAAGAAAGGCTTGCTCCTTTGAGTCAGACAATTGCTTCAATTTAACCTGATCTGCTGCAGAGATCTGTTGCAGCTGCATCGTTGACAGTTTATCTTTACCCAGGCGACACTGTTGCTGTTGTAGCTTTTTGACAGTCACCCGATCTTTTTGATTAGAACCTATCGGTAAAGAAGTGTAGGACTTACCTTGGTAGTAAAACAAACCACCCTTTGGAAGTATTTTACTGCCATAAGATTTGGGGGTCACTCCCGTGTAACTGTTCAGCTCGGTTCTTTTTGTGCACGTTTTCTTATAGACAGCATTGACATGGTACGTGCAATAATCTCCTTGCATTCTGTTAATTACATTTGTGCAAGGAGAGCCATTCTTTTTCCTCTGCTTGCATGTACCAAGATCGGTGGATGTTCCCATAATCATTAATTTCTGGTGATGATTAATGGTAAATGCAATATCGGACTGATATTTCTCAGATTTGTCCATCATGGTCGGATTCAGTAGACCCACTACAGTTCCGACATTGACTTTCCAATGAGTTTTGTATACATCACCAAATAAGAAAAATGATACAGATTGGTCACAGTTCTGCAAATCATTAAGCTTCCATATGCAGTACGTTTTCCCAGAGGATGATTTCTTCGGTTCTGGCTTGTAAACTACCACCCCGATAGTTACCCAATCACATTCAGAAAGTTCTTTTTTGTTCTTGTTATGAAGGGTTGACAATCTGAACATTTTCCGGCCTTGCATTCTAAGCTGCATTGTCTCCGTAGACACAAGTGGTTTAGTGATGCGAATGCCGGAAAATGGGTCTGTGGAAGAATCCTTGTCGATTGTCGGTTTCTGTAATGATGCTGGAGATGAATAATTAGATGTGTCCTTGTTGCTAGAAGTGGAACTAAACATTGTGGGGTTTAATGTACTTTGAACTGGTCCTTTTTTTGCTAGAGCTTTCGCTCTCAGCTCGGCCACGTTGTGTGAGGGTGTGTGCGCCACCCGGTTCTTGTTCTTTAGCAATTTCTTTAATTCCTCCCCGGCTTCGCTTAGTTTGTTTTTCTCTCCGTCCATGTCTTCCCAGTCGCTATCGCTGTCCACCAAAATATCGCTTTTCATACTGACTGGTTCCGTTATGTCGGTCACTTTATTTTGTTGAGGTTTTTCGAGAGAGGAAACATTCGACATATTTTTATCAATAGAGTGTTTACCTTCTGAGAAGAAATCGATGTTGTTATCAATGATAAATCGGCCCTGTTGCTTGGGTGACGAATTCGTAGTCGATGAAGCATTATTTTTCTCTTGAAGTTTACGTTCTAGTTCTTCCATGCGCTCTCTCATTCGTTTCATTTCTGCGAGAAGATCGTGATTTGCGTCGACCGATCTATCCTGGGGACTGGTATCAGTGAGGAAATTACTAATGTCGTCGACATTATTATCCTTTTTTTTGGTTGTATCAGATTCGGTTACTGTCCGAACTTCATTTACAAGTTGAGAACATTCTTCGTTCGACACATCATCATCATCTAAAAGAGAAGTTAAAACATCCAAAGCACAACCTTCGTCCATATTTTCCGGAAATCACCAACACAAAATTCAGTAACATAAAATTTTGCCGCCACTTGCGTAAATACTAAAGCTAGCGAATTTTATAGTTTGAGAATCAAATATTGTAAGTGTTGCTTAGCCTCTCATAAAACTGTAAATATGTTTGTTAGATTTTTAATGATTTTTTGTAATTTTTTTATTCGACCGATTAAAAAAAATTTAATACGAAGCTAAACTTTATATATATTACTATTTATGTGCGCTTGCGCAGTTTTGATTGTATATCTTGTAGCACGACGCTAGCCTTTGAAAATGTCCGTTTCTTGGGATAGCGCTTCAAATCCTGCTACAAAACCGTCTCAAAGGTAGAAAAAAATTACATATTTTGCGTTTTTATGTGTACGGTTTATTTGTTTAAATAATGTTGGGACTTATTTTTGCTATAAATGTGACTGAAGTGACGATTGTTCTTATCTTAAGTAAGTAGGTTGTCAGTGTTGCCGTTCAAGATGGCGACGCCAACCAACTAGTTAGTAGTCCTTGTTTAAATGTATTTGTTCTAGTTAGAATTTTTTTTTCTTTTTTTAACTTTCAATCTTTGTTTAATTTGCTAGAGTAGAATACTGTTAAGAAATTATCGCGTAGTTTCATGTGATGACAAGAAATAAAACGCACTCTGAGCCGAAATTTTAAATGGTGTTTATTTTCTTCCCATCTTGTGGTGATTTGTCATTTTCCCATATAATTTATTGATGGTTAATTTTTACTCGACTTTTTTTTATGTAGCAATACATTTCGCGAATAACTTGGATCATGCTGTCTTTTTAGTAATTTAATTCTTTATTTTTATATTTTCAGTAAAATCTTGTGAATACTTTCAATTTCTATCTTGACAATACTAATGCCCCCCCCCCCAACGAGCAAAGATTGTTTTGTTGTTTTTGGCCTTCTAGATGTCAACAGATAAAAACATCAAACTTTAAACTTTTATTTGATCCTTCTCTTATTTAATAGTTTCATTTTACATTGAAAAAGATGACAAGCATAAAATGTTTATTTCCGAGCGGGTTTTGTAATGCCCCTAAAAAAAGAAAAACAAAAAAAAAATGTAAAAAACGGTTTTATATTTAAGAATAAATATCGCTGTCTGGACTGTAAAATTGTTATTTGCATTGTTTTATATTTAAATAAGCGATTTTTTTTAAATACAAAAATGAAACGGGTTTTTCAATAAATCTATCCGATCGTCAATGTTAGATCGATTTTCAACTATTATTACGATCCTTTAAGTCTTCTTCACCTGATAATCAGAATTCCTTCAACTGTTTTTCTTAATACAGTTTTAGACACGCTTTTTTCTTCCTTATAAATAAAACCCATGTTTCTTGTGTTTTCTAGTGTTTGTTTTAAGTAGAGACCTCCACAAAAAAAACGCGATACCTAATAAGTTCAGAATGAATTTTTAAAAATGAAAAAAAAAAAAAAAATAAATAAATAAAATCTTGAATTTTATTTTAGTTGTAATTTCAAGCTAATAGATAAATTTATTCTATTTCCAATAATCAAAATACTTTGCTCTATTTCAAAAACTAATTTAAATTAACTGGAAATATTTTTTTTTCTAAAATAGCTAATTAGCGCCTTTTTTTATTTAGTTTTTCATCGCAATGTGATTTTCTTTTATTAGAAAATCTTCCAAAAATAAAATATGCTTTTCTGAAACTTTATCTCTGGAATATTAGCCGATTTAAAGTAAAATTTGATTTGAAAAAAATATTTATTTTAAGTTTAAAATACAGCAGAAATAGATTTTTTTAACCCGACAATATCTGCTTTGATGTTTTGACGACAACCTGATGACAGATCTAAAGACGGAGACTTTATTTGTAGTGTAGTAAAAATAATAAAAGAAAATGACGACGTGAGCGCTTTTTTTTATATAATTTTCAAGTCTTCCGCAGACTTTAAATTTAGGAAAATATTTTCAGTAATCTAAAGTTTATTGAATTCTAGAAATGTTCGCTTTAAATTTACCATAGTTATCGCTCTCAATTTAATGTTGTGTGTAGTCGCAAATACTTAAACAAAAAAAAAACTGCCTGTTCATAAAAAAATTTCTAAATCCTTTTCAAAATATTTGTTTGATTTCCATTTATGATTAGTAAATATAGTTTTAACTTAATATCTAAAAGACTGAAGAAAACAATGAATTTTTCTAATTAAAATTTAAAAAAAAAAAATGAAAGCAAGTCTTGTAAAAATTCATTATTCATCAAAAAAAAAAAATTATATTTTAAAGACAATAGTGTCCTTAATATATCTCATTTATAAAAGCAATTAAAGCTTTTGTAATTAAAGTCATAGTTTTATATTGCTTTTTTTTATGATTCAGTAAATCTACCTTTTTTTTAATTTTTTTTTTTTATACCTAAAGTTTAAAATGAATTTATAAAAATGAAAACGCATCCTTGAAGAGTTTGTTTTAGTTTTAATTGAAAGCTAAATGATTAAATTGACTATTTCTAGTAGGTAAAATACTCTGGTGCATTTCAAATAGAAATTATATAGATTGGAATGTCAAATATTTGCTCAATTTGAAAAAAAATCTGTTTACTGGCGGCCATTTCTTACATTTTAACACGTTTTAAAATAAAATTTAATTATCAGTTTCAAAAATTTTCTAAAAATAAAATATATTTGTCACATGTTATTTGAGTAATATTAGCAAATTTAAAGTTAAATTAATCTGATTTGATGCAAATATTACTTGTAGCATTAAAAAATAGTATACAAGCATTTCTTAATGATGGGTCCTGTTTTTCTCCTGTCTTATTGACATTATCCATGAGCTACAATGTGTTGACAGCTAATATAGATGACCAGAATTGACTTGAATTTATGAAATGTAAGTGAATGCATTTTTTTTATAACTACCTAGTAATTTTTACAAATGGACATATTTTCAGCAATTATTTAGTATTTTGACTTAGTTACATTTCAAGATGCTTTATGAAAAAATAATAAAATTTAAAATAATATAAAATTTTTTTTAGATTAATTTAAAAATTTAATAACTGAGTTGAAATACCATGAGAGAGGTAACTCAATAATTTATGAAATGTTATGGTATTTTATTTATTATTAATTTATATTTTTTAATATATTTTTCATTTTATTCATTATTGTTATGATGGTTATTTTATTATTAAATTTTTATAGTACTTTAAATTTTATTATTAATTATGTAATTGTTTAAACTTTCATTATTTTAACCCAATACCCTAAACAATATTTAAAAGATGTAAATGATAAAACAGAAGTGAATAATGAAAGTGAAAGAATTCCAAAGCACCAGACAACCCTTAAATCACTTGACCTTTTAAGGATAATGTCATGTATGGATTAAGTTACAAAATGGGAAGGCTTACACTAAAAAAAAAAAAAATTTTTTTTTTTTTTTTTAAATATGAAAATAACTTCAATTTTTGATTTGTAAATGTAGTTTGCACTTAGTAACAGTATCACCTAACTGCCTTGAAGTAATGGAGAATTTTAAACGATTTTTATAATATAAATTTTTTAATTAGAATTGAAAAAAAATGAAAACAATTCTTGTAAAAAAAAAAAAAAAATTTTAAATAAAAAAAATTTTCTTCCTAACACCATAATGTCCTTAATAAATCGTATTTATAAAAGCAATTAAAAGCTTTTCTAATTAATGTCATAGTTTTATTGCATTTTTTATTTTACAATTCAGAGCAGATTTTGATGAGTGGGTTAACTCTTTTACAAAAGAAAATTGATTTACATTCTCCAAGGAGTCTTGCTTTTAACTAACAAAAAATTCCTGTCCTAAAAATTGAATTTCATGGAATTTCATGAAATTAAGTAGGGGTAACATGTGGAGAGAAAAAAAAATATTTCAAAATAATTTCATTCATTTGTAAATGTCCTACAAATTTAATTAAAATCTGTCAATTATGTGATTTTTTTTTTTTTTTTTTTTTTTTTTTCACTGGTAAAAAAAGTGTAAAAACACTAATTGTAATTATTATGTTGGCTGCTGACATAAACAAAACAAGATTTTTAACCAAAATTCCAAATTTGATGGAAAAGGATTAAAAAATTTAATAATAAAAAATACTTTTTTTATTTTTCTCAAGTTTGGGGCCTTTTTTTTTTTTTTTTTTTATTATGCTATGACTTTTTTAGAAACTCAAGTTTGTATTTCCTCTTTGTTTCTGATTACCTGAAAATGTTAGATACTGCCAAAATTTTAGCTAAAAACCTTAAAATTGTATTATACAATAACTTAAATGCCTCTCTTTTTTTTTTTTTTTTTTTTTTTTTTTTTTTAGTAAAATTTTGTTTTTGTTTGAAAGATAATAACCTAATGTTAATCCATATGAAAAAAAAATTTCCATATGTAAATAATATTTTTAGACATTTATTAAAACCTCCCTGTCACTCACCAAGTAATTGAACCACCATTATATATGAAAAGTGTAAGCAACAAATTTTAAAATCTCTTATGAAAATCCAGTATTTGTCCTAGAGATGTTTCAAAGTAAACTAGTTTAGGTAGGTACCTCCACGAGGTCGCTAAAAAAAAGCATAGCATGATGAAAAAGATGCCAAACTTGACGAAAACAAAATTTTATCGTCTAAATGTTTATTATTAAAGAGGAAAGGTCAAAAGTATTTTGAGGTATTTTTTCCATTTTTAATCGTTCCTAGCACGTCCGAAATTTTAGTTAAAAATCTAGTTTTTTTTTTGAGTCAGCAAAATTGACCATTTTTCCATTTTAAAAAAACTGGAAATCTGACTTTGAAATATTTTTAAATATCAATTATCATTTTTTCAAAACTTATTTTAAGAAAATCAGAAATTATAATGTTTATTTAAAATATTTTGAACCAAACTTAACTTAGCTTTTGTGCCAAAAAGATGTAATTTGAAAATAAAACAAAGCAGGTCATAAACTTTCGTGTCTCTTGACATGTGATGAATGATATATTTACGAATTCCATGAGGCTAATTTGTTCTACGGAAGGAGAAAAGTGAAATAATTTACATTTATGTGAACAAATTATTTACACCATTATTTTTAACGAAAACTTTCAGCGGTCTATTTTTTTTTTTTTTTGTACTTAGCTTTCACCTTTACGTTTATGATGCTTTATGGGAAATATATTGTAAAGAAATTAAAATAAAACTGTTAAGAGTGACATTAAATTTCATATTTCTTAAGAAAGGTATCTAATTAATTTATAGGTACCTTTATGAAATTTTATCAGAATTGTACATAAAATACTATAATTTTATGTACATTTATTACATTCTACTGTTATTTGTATTTGCATTCATTTTATTATTAATTTTGATATTTCATTTATGGAAAATGTCGTAACTGAGATTAATATAAAAATAAGATCATATAAATTTCATAAGATGATACTGATACTTGTAGGTACCCTTCTCAGTTGAAATTGAAAAATCAAATTAACTTCTCCACACGTGTTTCAAAAAAGTAAAGGCCTTAACAGCGGAGAACAATGCTTAACTCAAATAACGCAAACTTAATTATATTCTGGTTGGTCTTCCGTATTTTATAATTACAGCTCGATTATAAGCACAAAATTACATTTCTTAATTACTGGGGATCTTCTGATTAGTCAAAATGATACAATTTACAACGCTAAAAAAAACGATCTATCTCATAAGGACACTTATGAAAGCCGATCTTGACTTTTAACTAATTTTATAATATTTTAACAACTTAAATGTAAAATCTATTATAATTAATGAAATAACAAATAATTGTATTAAAAATTCATTTTTTTCAGCGAAAAAAATTTTTTTGCTTTCAAAAAATATTGTCCATATTCATAAAAAACAACTAAAAGCAAATAAAAGCATTTGAAATTAAATAATATCTTTGTTTTATTGAGTTTTGTATGTTACAATTCAGAGCTGATTTTCAGGTACTGCATATCCAATTAAAAACAAAAGAAAACATGATTTGCATTCCTCGAAGCCCTGTGCTTTTAATTATTATAATCACTAAAACCGCTGCGATCGAATTTCTAGCGTTTTCATAAAATTAGTTATGGGGGGTAATAAATATTTAAAAAATATATTTCTACCATGACTTTCATAAAAAAACATATTTATAATAATTTCAATCATCTGTGAATAGTTCCTGAAAGTTTCATTAACATCCGATAATTATTTCTATTTTTTTGCACGATTTTTCAAATTAATGTGTGTCATACCAAAAAAACGTGCTAAAAATTGTCTATATTATTTATTAGTTCCGCTGATACAAATAGAAACAAGGTTTTTTTAATCAAAATTTAGAATGTTCTAAAAAGAAGGAAAATTTTTTTAAAATAATTAAAAAAAAAAAAACTTTGGTCTTTCCTCTTAATAATAACATAAGCATTTAGACAATAAAATTTTGTTTTCGGCAAGGTTGGCATCTTTTTCATCAAGCTATGCTCTTTTTTTAGCGATTTCGTGGAGGTACCTAAGTTTAGGGAATAATTAATGATCATGTAAAAGTAATGTTTACTTTTTGCTTTTTTTACACATGATAATCTGTGAGCTGTCATCAAGGTCATAGGTCAACAGTAGGGTTCAGCTGCTATCCTGAATCTTTAAAAAAAAAAATTTTAAATACAAAACCTCAGCTGTGCAATAATCAAGAAACTTGTATTGTTTATGCTTAAAAATAAATTCTTTTTTCTTTCTTTCCCCTAATAAATCAAAAACAGCAAAAAAGTATTTGGTTCCCTGTATTTTTTAAGAATTCTAACATTTTATTGAATATTAGATTCTTTGGCTTATGAAGATGATTGTGGAGGAAATGTTAGAAAATTCCCAATATATTTTAAATTTAATATAAGTACAGCTCTTATTTTCTGATAATATTGTGTATGGGTGTTTGTATTTACAGATATCATCACACGCATACAATTCAAAATTCTTCAAATACTGGCAGTTGTAGTGAGTTTTTTCTATTTATTAATAAATACAGTTTCAAATTGACCACTACAAATTAATACAGAATTTTAAGTTTATAATTATTCTAATCAAAATAAAAAATTCATTAGACATCAAAAGAATTTAATATAATATAATTTATTCATTAAAGCAATTAAAAGCTTTTCTAATTAAATAATGGCTTAGTTTTATTGCATTTTTAGTTTGATTTAGAACAGATTTTATTAAAGTTCTCCAATGACTTGTCACTAATATAGACATTAAGCAATACACTGAAACTAAAAAATTAAAAAAGTGGAGGTGGGGTAATGTGTGTGTGGGGGGGATTTCTAAGAAAACCTTTCACTGATAAATTTCATTAATTTCTGAATCCTGAAAGTTTCATTAAAATCTAACCATTTTATTTATTTTTTGGTATGTATTTCTAAATCACTGTTTTTCACTGCAAAAAGACCCTCAAATTTCTCCTACAAATTTATGATCTCATGTTGATGACAAGATTTTTTATTTTATTTTTTTTTAAATGAAATTTCTAAGGTTGCAAAATGGATTAAAAAAAAATAAAAAAAAAATTTTTTTGATAAAAAAAAAAAATCCTCTCAATTAGAATTTGATAAAAATTTAATTTTTTTTTTTTTTATCAGGTATCCTGTTTTTTTGTGAATTTTTGGAGGTATTTGCTTTTATGAAACTTAGAAGAATGAATTATTTTTTGTTAGAAGTATGACAAATTTAAAAAAAACAAAACAAAAAAAAACTAGTAAAATGATACTTTTGGGTTTAATTCATTGCTTTTATTCTTTGATTATTTTCCTACCTGTTTGATGTCTTAAAATATTTAATTCTGCCCACTGAGGCCTTCATAATTTCTCTAATTTTTAATTTATTAAATTAAAGGAAGTGCTAAAATAAGGTGGGAAAACTGATAAAACACAACACCAATATATATTAATCTCCAGAGTGTGAGGTAATTCAGAAATTTTACCCATTTGATCTTCCATACAAAAAATAATCTAACATTTGTGAGAAATAATAAAAAATAAAATTATTTTAAAAATATTTCTGGTATGAAAATGATATCAAACTTTACATTTTTTTAAAACACCTTTATTTAATAAACTGATTTCTTTTGTCATCAGCAACTGAAAGAATTTAAAAATCACACCCAAAAATTACAAATATCCATAGATTTCCCCTCCTCCGAGTCACATCTGTCATCCCCCAATTTAAAAAGTAATCATGTCTTATCAAAATGGTATAGTAACTTACTCTCTCCCAAAGATAATTAATTCTAACAAAACACCTATTCAGCATACTATTTGTTCATTCGTGAGTGCTGAAAATTTCATTTAATTCTGATAATTCCCTAGCTTTCATTTGGTAAATCTCTAAAACAGGCAGTAGTAGTTTTTTTAAATTTTTTAAAAAATTTTTCTTAGTGTGGGAAACAATACAGCATACAATCCTAAGCTGCATTTCTATTGTAGATTTTCCAGAAGTTGCTACACAATCCACTGCTGACTCTGGTTACTTCAATGAGGAAGTATTGTTTGGAGGGCAGATCCCCAGTTCAAAATTTAATTTTTGATTTCAGGCTACGAATGACTAAAAGGAATGCTATGAGATGACCCTTCCACATAATAATAAAATGTAAAAGGTTAATTTTCTTTCATAAACCTGTTCAGTGTGAACCACTGAAAAACATGCAAAGAGGGGGAGGAAAATAATTGTGAAATATTATCATCCATCATATGACAATATTACAATATGTCATTGTCTTTCAACTCCTATTCAGGAATAAGTTAGCCACTCCACCTCATGCTCTGCTAATTAAAAAGATAAATATAAAAATTCCCTTTTTGCAAAACTTAATTATAAAATTCTGAAATTTAACTTTTAATAACAAATATCACTGAATAATTTAATCAGCTTATGAAAAAAGAAAAAAATAGAAATTCTTGTTGGAAAGAAATAATAATTTGTGTGTGTATATATAAAAAAGAAAAAAATCTGCTTACTTTGGAAAAATAAAATAAAATGGAGTAATTGGTTCAAATTTAACAAAATATTTAAACGTTTAATGATTCATTTTTTAATTAAAAAAAAAAACAAAACATTTTTGTTCAGATAATGAGTTTGAAAACTGGATATACATACTAATATTGGTACAAAAAAGTTATTTTTGTTAGTGGTGATTGTCATAATCCTGACCTTTGTAAGATAACTTCTCTATTGTTCTTTATTGCCTCTTAAAAAAAATTTTAATAGCATTAATATGGAATCTTTTAATTTTTTTTCTCTCCCTCTGTTACTACTCCAATCCATGTTAATATTAATGTTTGATTGAATTATAAACATCTTTTTTGAAATCTGCTATTGAGATAGGCATTTTTAAGTGAACCATGTTGGCAGGCAGTAGCTGATAACTTAGCCCCCTCTCCCCCTTTCTGTTAATATCAAAGGGGTTATCTCTACACTCTATAGAGAAAAAGTAAATTGTTTTGGTGGTGCACAGAAACGTGCATTGTTTAATCAGTGAGTATAATGAAAAAAATTTCAAGGGTAAACTCTGTCAGTAAATAAAAATAAAAAAAAAAAAATGTCTTTGACCTGATTAATTTTTTTTTTTTTTTTTTGCTATGGCAATTTTATTTCTATTTCAGTTCAGACAATGTCATGTACCCTAACAAACCTGAATGGGAGACTGCTCGAAAAGCCCTGGAAGCTGTCAGTGGTTCCAAGCCCAAAGGTGATGTTGATTTGCGAAAAGAAGTGCCAAGTCCCACCAAAGCTGCCATTTTGTCAGCGAGGCAGGGAATTGAAGCTGCAGCAATGCCACTTGGAGGCTTACCGCCTCCAGGTATGACACCAATGCCTGGGCCTCATCAAATGACAGACAACTCTGTTAATCAACCTATGCCTCCATATTCAAATATGAACCCTCAAGAGCAGTCACCTAATAGTTACAATTCAAATAACAACTATTATTACAATAACAACAGCTGCAACATGTATCCACCATATAATTACGGGCAGTAAGTATATTTTATTAATGTTTTTTGCTTTGTATTGTTATCTGAAATGGCACTTTTCAATTTTGCATTACGGGTGATGTTTGTAATAGTAGTAACTTGAAATTTCTTTTCATATCAGATGCAGTTATGTTGAAAGCCAAAATGAACTTGGTATTTATTATGTTCCCAGCTGTGGGTTGAATAGTAGGGCAGGCAGTTCTTCAGCCTTGGTTGGTAACCATTCTAGGAGGAGGACAGTTCTGATTTCAAAATCAATAGTGCATGGAACTAGCAACAAAATGGCCATTATTTATAAATGGATTGGCTTTTCATACCATAAGTAACTACTAGTTACTATGGAAACCACAGCAATAATACCTGGCATGTAGTGAGCTGTGTCTCCTTACACCTTGGGGTGGCATCTGCAGGACTTGACTGAATAAAAGTATTATTTTATCATGATGTTTATCTGAATTTGCAATGACACCTTGGCTCTATACAGATTTCTTTTCTTTCTCTAAATGGCTATGCAGTTTTCTTTCTCTTAGGCTGGTTGCCACCCAAGTCTAGACAGCCTGATCCATCTTGCTATTAACCTATAAAGGTAGGAGAGATGGTTCATGCCTTTCTCAAAGACATTAGTGTAAAAGTGAATGCAACAGACTGGATCAGAACTTGAACCTTGCTTGAGGTTTCAATTTCTGCATTGATAAACATTGCACTACTTGCACATCCTATTAAATGGATAATTCTGTATTAAAAAAAAAATGGTTGTTCATTATGAGATTATTAATTTTAAGATTATCATCTTTACAGACTTCTTTTCAATACATCACCAAGTTCAAGTTTGTCAGGATTAAATCCATGAGGAATATTAACCTTAAGACTGCAAGGGGAAGTTGCAATTAGATGTCATGAACAATTGGCAAGAAAATTTAGTGATTGAATTCTATTCAAAATGAATTGTGACTTCAAAAATCAGATGAATAGAAACTTGTATTGTACTTTTCAGTAATATGTAATTGATCACTTTTTATGCAGTTCTGAAGAAAAATTTATTTTTGATGTAGATGAGAATCTGAAACCTCAATCTGCATTTTATGATCTACTCTCATTTTGCAAGTTAATGGTACAAAAAGTGGATCAGCTGATTTTTTTTTTTTTTTTTTTTTCAAAAGATCTAAACCAATTCTCTAGTCAGGATCAGAATGAAAAAAAAACCCTCATTGAATGAATTGGTTCTCTGAAGAATTTTTTTTTTAGGAAAGGATTTAACTTACTCTCTAAGTTGAAATAAATGTGTAGAGGATAAACAAGAATATTTTAATTCTATATTATATTTTCATTCTTTTTAATTGGCAATTTTTGGGGTGAATTAAACTAATATACATTGTTTTTCTTTTTAAGGTATTACAATGTGCCACAACAGTATGGGAATGTCCAATATGACCACTATCAGCAAAATGTAGGTTCATTTTATGTTAACCATTTCTCATGGAAAATACTTTGCTTGTAAAATTTATAATCTGCTTGGTAGCCATTCTGATGTTCTTGTCATTATTTTGATATTTCAGATGAAAAAAAAAATCTAGGATTTTGTGAAATATTTTATTTAAAAAGTTTAATGTGGTCACATGCAGAAAAACCAGACTAATAACTAAAAAGATGTTATTTAAAAATGGTTTGAAGACTTTGTATTTGGTTGTTTTAAATGAAGAAATTAGGGATAATTGAATTTTATTGGATTTATTTCTAAATTTTTCTGCCCCATATTTTTTTTTTTTTTTTCTTCAGGGTTCAATGTATAACCATCCTCCACCAGGATATCCGCCACAACATCCTGATAGTGGCCTACCAAATTCAGCTCCTCCACCTCCTCATATGGGGCTTCACTCTGGGCAGCAGCCATTGCCTCCAGGAACAGGGGATGCGATTGATCAGCAGAGACATCCACCACCACCACCGCCACCTCCTCACATGCAGCAACCACACATGCAGCCTCCACATCATCAGCAACATGATGCTCATTATCAGCAGCAACAACCCCATCACCCACAACAGCAGCAGCAGCAACAGCATTATCAATCAGACCAACAGCAACAACCCCCTCCACCCCAGCAACAGCAACATCCCCAGCAATCACCACCCAATCATCAATTCCAACATTCTGATTCTCCTTATCAACATAATATGCCTCGGTTCCAAATGGCCAAATCAAAACGTAAGTACTTGTTGCAGCCTCTGTTATTTTAGAAGAAAAGACTGAGAGAATAGTTTGGGGTCATTGGGCCTTCCATTTGGTCACTCTTTCCAATGTGTGTTTTATTTATATATATATATATATATATATATATATATATATATATATATATATATATATATAAATATAAATAAATAAATGGAAGACATGCAAATGTGGCAAATAACTGAGGAAGAGGCACTGAAAAGTTGTGGATGCAACCAAAGAACAATTCCAAAATAATTCCTTTTGCTTGATCATTTCAGAAGTGGGTTGACCTGAGAATATTTCTAGTCTCCCTCATAATTAACTAGCATAGAATCCATGAAACAAAATGACCATTATTTATAAATGGATTGGCTTTTTTGCCTAGGTTCAAAGGATGTGCCCTTTTCTGATGACATTTTTGCCTTGGATCAATATTATATATATATACACTCTACCTAATATTTTGCAAATGTTTTTGTTCAAGAAGCAGAATGCCACCATAATGGATATGCCACTTGCTTGAATGATGGTAGGATACACTTGTTAATTGTATTTGCGTGTGTGTGACAAGTTACATCTAAAGAAATATACAGAAAATGTTCATTATTCCATGTAATTTGTTTGCTTAGCCAGACAAGTCAGGGATTGAACAGAAACTGCAGATATATTTACAATTGTCTTGTTTCCTATGGGTCGGAAAAATTGTTTTAAATTCCTCATCAGTGCATTAAGGTATTATCAAACTGTTTTCTTAGTTCAATTCCAGTATGTACTATGGTATGACAATTCAGTTTAATATTTAAGACAATTCTGTTTCTAGAGAATCCTAATGCTCTGGGAATTAGATTCCAAATTCCCAAGCGGCATAATGTCCAGAACACTAATGCAATCTCTGGATACCAAGCTAAACGTTTCCCCCAGCAACAGCAGCAGCAGCAACAACAACAGCAGCAGCAGCAGCAGCAGAAGATGAGGTCACCTCACAGTGGGAAGCAACAACAATCCAACTATCAAGCTAGTCCTGATAATGGCAGGGCAAACAGCAACAGCCCTGCACCAGAGTGAGTATTTCTCTCTCGTAATCTTTTTTTCTTTTCTTTTTTTCTTTTTTTTTTTTTTCTCGTCGTCCCTAATTGTTAATCTTGATGCCATTTATGTCAGTTATTTCACTCTGCTGCTAAAATATGAAATTCTTTTGTTCATTGATAATTTAAAAATTAAACATGTTTTGTAATGGTTGCAAACATTTTTATTTTAATTTTTTTTTTTTTTTTTTTTTTTCTTCTTCTTCTTCAGATCCAAGCCTTCTGGTCCTGAGAAAGGAGAATGGCCAGCTTCATTAAAGTGAGTGAATATTATTCCATATTTTTGTTTCGATCTTAATCGCAGTCAATGATTGCATGATGATTGTTTATTAGAGGTCAGGATCTTCTTCATTTATTAAAATAAGTAGTAGTAGGTGCCATCTGTTTATCTTGCCAGATAATGATGGCACCCTGTTTGGTTAAAATTCAATCCTTTTGTGGTAGGGCTGTAGTACTATACTGACACTATCCAAAGGAATACACATTACATTTAGGGTTGTTGGCTTGCCTGAAGGGGGGTGTTGGAAGTTTGTCAGTGCTAACAGCAAATTGCCTTTTGGGATACACTCCAGATTTTTCTCTTTGTTTCCATAGTCTCTTCCAGGTTTAAATTAACTTTTTTATATTTTATATATTCACTAACATCCCCCCCCCCGTTCCCACACGCCAGGCATCCAGCTAGACATGTGTGAATAGCAGGCAGACTTGATCCTGTAGCAACTAATCTGAGAGGACAACTCTGAATTCCAAACCTGAGGAGGGTCTTTTGGGGATAGTGGCACACTGTGCACTAGTTTTCTGTATTTGGCTGTCTAGTTGGTTCTGCAGAAGCCTTCACCACTATAACCAAATTATATTTGCAAGTAGTCTATTTGTGTGTGTGAGATAAACAAAAACACAAAGTAAAACAAATTACATGCGTTGTACATAAATAAATGAACACAAATATTGAAAAGTTTGATACAATTATAAATCTTGATTTAAGCCTGAAATACTTGGCCTGAAAGTCATTATTTTTATTGTAGGTTATAAATAATCTATGCTAGCTTTTTGACCATACCAACACCTAAACTAACACCTGATAAAAGGCAAATGAGAGCAGAGAAAATACAAAGTTGATAAGTAGCTTACAGTAGCAAAAAACAAAGTAAAAATAAAAGGCAAATGATCTTCAGGATGATAGTTGGACAAAAAAACAAATAAAAAAAAAAAAAAAAAAAAAATCCAGTAACTGGAAAAAATTGAAAGAAATACTCAGTACCTATATAAATACAAATAAATATAAGTCATAATATATATATATATATATATATATATATATATATATATATATATATATATGATAAACGAAATAATTGCAAATAGTTATTTTTCTTTTAAGCAATATTTACATTTTTTCCCTTACAGTTAAACTTCAAATCCGTTGATTTTTTTTTGATTATAGTTCAGAACACTTCTCAGTAACTATGATTTTAGAATATTTTGTTTGAGATGTTTTTGCTGACTCTTTGAAAGTTGTTTACATGTTTTAAAATTTATGTCCTTTTACAGAGACTATGTACAAAGAGCTTTTGCCAGTGTCAGTGAAGAATGTCAAAAAGATGAGATGGAAAGATGTTTAAGAGTGAAACTAAAGGAAATCTTTGATGACCACACAGCTTGGAGCAAAGATTGGTCAAAAGAGCCTTTGCCTGAGTAAGTAACAAGCTTTGTTGTTTTGTTTTTGATATTTACCCAGGACTGGTTAAAGGAAAATCTCTATTAAAAGGCTTTTAGGTGAGATGGTCTTGGCAAGTTCCTTGATTGTATGAGCTGTTGTACCATTCAGGGAAAATGTGCACAACTGATGCTCATTAGTCTATGTGCCAATAGGCTTCTTCTGCTTGTATTCAATTGTTACATGAGGTTTTCTAGCCATTGTGTTGCAATGGCTTTGCAACCTTTATGTTGACTAACAAATTCAGGCAAGATGCCTACATCAAATTTCATGTGAAGTTTGGCAAATCGGCTATGTAGATCTTTTAAAAGCTCAGTGGAGCTTTTGACTGAATACAAGTTTTTGAGTGGCATGCACATTTCAAGGCCCCAGTAAAATGCAAGAAAATATGACCCCATCCATCAGTTCTTAAATGATTGGAATTGGTTGTGGAGTCTGCCAGGAGATCCCTCGTCTGAGAGCATCCCGATACTTTCTTGTATTGACAACTTGTCTTTGATAACCAATTACACTTAATGTTAAAAATATTTAAAATTCAAAACTAATTCCTTTGATGTTGGATCATAATAGGCAAATTTAAAAATGTTTTTAATTTTTATTTTGAAACCTCTTTTTGCCTCATTAAAATTTTATTAAAAGACAAATGATCATGTTAAGTTTTCTGGTCTTTTTTGATATTGGATACTTGAAATGAGAATTAGCAAAAAATCCCCTCCTCCAAATGAAGTTCTCCCTAGAGTGAATTTATGATGATGGACTCTGTTAGATTTTTATAGTTTCCCATGAGATTAAGAAAAGCCACATTGTGATTACTTTTGTTTCAGTATAAGTGGGCAGGATAACAAACGCAAGAGAAGCCGCTGGGAAAGAGATGAAAGTGAAGTGAGTAGCAACCGTTCTTCTGTTCGCTGTCCTTACAATGGAGACCGGGTACCCACTTATAGAACATCTCGCTCGCGTTCTCGTAGCAGGTCGAGGAGTCATTCAAGGTCTCCTCCAGCTGTGGTAGTTTCTATGAGAGACAAGTATCCTCGTACTGTAGCACGAAGGCATAGAAGGCATAGCAGGTACGTGTTGTGACTGTTGTCTATCATGTCAGAAAATATGCACACCACTTAGTGGCGCATCAATTATAGACGTGTGGGGGGGGCGGCCGGGGGGGGGGTTAAAATAATAACTTGTAGCTTTTGTCTTAACATAGCAACATTATTTCATAACCTATCTATTTGTTGCTTAACTTTAATTTATGCATGTCTAACCCCCAAATACAACTTCCTTTGCCCATTCTGCATTTGAAGTATTTGCAACTTGATATTGCAGTCGGCCTGCAACATCATGCAGATGTTGCACATCTTAAACAACCATTTCTCTGTTATGACTTGGGATCCAATTTGATTAAGCCATCAAAATCTTCACTAAAGTTACAATTATATGTCTTCCCTTTTTTTCTTTTTGTTCCTTCCTTTCTTTTTCTTTGTTCACTTATGATGCTTGAATGTGATTTTCTTTTCTTTCTCTCAGTGATAGTTCCAGTTATTCTGATGATAGTTCTTCATCAGAGAAATATTCAAAGCAGACTTTCAGTAGCAAGAATCATGGCCGAGGTCGTGGAAGAGGAGGAGGAGCACGTGGTCGTAATCCCCGAGGCCGATTAAGGCTTGATGAACCACTGGGGAATAAAAAAGGGAAGAAAGATAGAGAGTAAGTCATTGTTCTTCTATGTGTGTACTTTTTTTCCCCTGACAATATAAACTCCCTATGTTTAAAAATGTTTTGAAGGAATGTCGGACTCTGGCGGCTTCAATATTTCCTCCTTGGCCATTTTGTCTGTCTGTAAAAGCTGTTATGTTTGTTTTCAGAGTAGTTGTTGTTGTTCTAAAGGGTATGTTTTGATATTAATCATTTTCCTGTTGATATGTGTCTGGGTCACCACTTATTATTTTTGCACACTGTTGTAGGCAACAGCTGATCCCTTTCTTTACACTGTATGAATGGTGGGAATTGAATTTAAGCTATTGTTTGTGAATGTTGTTCTCGTAATGCAGGTGTCTTGAATACATTTTCTGTGTGTTATTAATACGTCCAGGAAGGCTAGCTCATTGTTTTCTTCAACCATTGGGAACTGGATTCAAAGGTCTTACCGAGTTCACATGTATTTGTACAGCTGGACCATGGTGATGCCAGAGTATGAAGGGGTGTGTGTGTGTGTATATATATATATATATATATATATATATATATATATATATATAAAATGTGATGTCTGGTGATTTGAGGTAGGATCAAGTTGAGTGGGTAAGCAGAAAAATTGGGAAAGATGAGGGAGTGCCTTTTGATATATTGAGAAAAGAGCAAGGTAGAAATATGGATCTACATAAACCTATAAAATGAGATAAATGAGTGTCCCAAGAGGATTGGAACCTGGGACTACTTCAGCCTATAAGCAGTAAAACCTAGGTTTACACACCTGCAAAGAGCTGAATTGAGAAGTCTGTGTTCTCAAAAATTACCCAACTGGGACTGTTTTAGAAAATTACTTTATTTCTTTGTTAGAGTGATGGCTTACATTTCAGTCTGGGCTGAGTCATTGGGGTAGATGATCGTTGACAAATTTGGGAGTCAAATGATGAGGAGAAAGATGTGTCTATATAAGAATAGAGCCAAAGCGCATTAGTTTTTTTCCAGTTTTTATTGATTGCAGCAGTCAAAATTCATGCTCTACTGTTAAGCTGCTTTCAATGAATGCACAGACAAAGAACTTTTAACAAGAGTTACACAAAAGAGAAGGAACTAACTTCTTTCCATGTGTTTCAATTTAGGACTTATTTAAAATATAGTTTTGAAATATCACTGCCTTGGGTCACCCTTCTGTCAAGCAGTGGGTGTATTTGTGAGGTTTTAATTTTCATCCCCACTCTCTATTTGATTTCTGACATTCCTTCAAAACGTTGTTTTTCTTTATTCTTTGCAGTTTGCTATTTGAATATGATGCTCCAGATAAAGAAGAGAAAATGCAACGAAGAGCCGCAAGATTTGTTGAGCATTTAAATAATTCCTCTGATTCTAAACGTTATCGACAGACTCTAACGTTAACTATTAATAACTTCACAGTAAGTTTCAAGGATTTTGTTTTCGTTTGTGCGTTTTAGTTTATAGTTTCAAATAATTTTTCTGCTCTTGGTATAAACCATCTTTCTAGTGTCTCTAATTTTGAATGAAGACCAAATTGTAAATTAATGGATGGCTTAAAACTGAATTGTTTAAATATAAACTTTATATCAATTTGGTTTCTTTAATTTATTGAAACGTTTTTCTGTTAGTAAATGACTTTAAATTTGATATTAACTTTGTATATTTAAACAAGTCCTGACAATCACCTGTGAAATGATGGCAGTTAAGTGATGCATGAAAAATTTAGTCAAGTTTCCATCATTTAATGGTCATTTGGATGAATTAGTTCCTCACTTTAAAAACGGACATTAAGTTTAAACCAATCTCGATGCAAACCTAAAAAATATCTCAAGAAATTTGATAACTACAAAAGCTCTCTTCTCACAAAAGGACTGAGTCTTTATTGATTCCTTGGAACAGAGGTTCTAATTTCCTTAGACAAGCAGAGACTTGCCTATTTGTTCCTACATAGATTCACTGATTTGCCTTTCACTAAATGCCAACATTTTCATCTACTCATCACTCAAAAAATACACATTTATAAAAATAATAATAAACTCTTTGTTCCAAACTCATTTCATTTGTGTCCTACACACCAGACAACAAGGATTTCCTACTCAACTGAACTTGAACCTTATCATATTTTACCTCAGTTGTATTTGATAATTATTCTGTTATCTCTCGAACTTTAAACCAAACACTTTCACCACAACAATTTGAAACCTTCAGTAAACATCAATCATTTTATAATCTGAACAATCTCAGAAACCTCAAAATAGAAGCTGTGCTTAGTCTGGCACAAGATTACAACTATGGAGTAACCAGTGAGGTTTACATTTGCTGCATTGGCTTGTTCAGTTCAGTAGGAATAAAACTTGATATTTGAGCAAAATGGAATCTTACCATTTTTTTTTTTTTTTTTTTTTGTCTATGAAACATTTTCATTGGATTGCAAGAATTTAAACTATTTTTGTATCTTAGCTGTGATAGGTTCATTTCATCTTGATGCAGTTGGTCCATAGATTTTCTGCTAAAAAAGCTTTTTTTATAAAATCCTCAAAAATCTAAATTGTGAAAATATAAGCTTAATTTTTCTTTACACTTTCAGGCATGCACACACTTATATTGATTTTGATCTATTAACGTTTAATAGAAAATATAATGCTTTTTCTTTTAGTGTTAAGCTTAGAACCGTCATAAAAATGTTTTTTCTCAAGTTTTAACATCTTTTTTCATTGTCCTGTTTATTTTCTAGACAACTGGAAGTGATGATGACCTTGACATGGACGGATGCGTAATTGTTGGAGAGTGTCAAGACCTGGAAAAACAATATTTCCGTTTGACTTCAGTAAGTAAAATTAAATATTAATATGTCTGACATGATGGAATGGTGTTTTAATTTGACCATGTACTCTAAAATAATAAGACCCCCTGTACAGTTATGCATACAAAACCAAGAAACGAAATTATCGAACTTGACGCTTTCAAATTTCAAAGGTGTATATGTTGACTCGGCAAATGTTATAACAAAACTTTGTGTATTGTATTTTTTTAATTTTAATTTTTATTTTAATTTTTTCTTTATGAAAGAATCCTGGAACTGTCATATCATTTGTCTTTCTCTGCAAGCAGCTGTCCTGTTTGCTAACCTTTCTTTTATCAAACATAGTCATTTGCAAAGAACACTTGAGGGGTGTGTGTCAGTTATTCATTGTCTAAAGTGCCGTAGGTAGTACTCCCATGGGCTAATTGTCTGAAATCAGAGAGAGAGGTCACAGCACCTCGCCATGGGGAGAAGCCAGTTTCTTTCAAGCTGACATGTGAGGTGGATTTGTTTTTGGAAGTTACTTTCTAGCCCTTTTGCATAAAGGGTCAGGACCTGCAAGGGAACAGGGAGTTAGAATTTAGTTTTCCTCTTCCTAGACTGGATGCTAACCAAAGCTATAGCTGGGGAGAAGAGATGGATTCTTTCCTTTCCCAAGGCTATTAAGCAGCACATGAGGGAATGCAATGAACTTGACTGGAATTTGAACTTGGCTCTCTGATTCTTCAACCCAAGCCGCTATGTGTGTTACTCAGTTATGCATCCTATGCATCCGCTATTATAATTGTATTATACATTAGATTATGGAGTATATCTTCCTAAATTTTTAAGATTACAGAATACTTAAAAATAAATAAAATATAATTTACAAATAAAGTCTAATAAACAATATTAGATCTGTCATCACCTTTTGTTAAACATAAAAATGGCTACTGTCCAGTTAAAAAATATATTTCTGCAATATTTTAATCTTAGATTAAATATGTTTCAAATCAGATTAATTACACTTTCAGTCAGCTAATATTCTTCTAATCAAAAAAGTATTTTATTTTTGGAAGTTTTTTTTACTAAAGAGAATCACATTGAAAGACTAAAAAAGGGAGCTAATCAGCTATTTTAGCAAAAAAAAAAAATTTTAATTTCAATTATCGCGTTTTATGTGGAGGTCTGTACATTTATGAAAGATATTAAAATTAATGATAGAGTAGCTTTTTATTTTATTAAGATACATGTGGATTTTTTTTTCTTTTTGTGGCATTATCTGCTTTGTTAGACTTTCTTTTTTTTTTTTCATTGAAGTTTGCTTACTGAAAAGTTGGGATGTTAATGTTTGAATCTTATTAAAATTTTCTAGTATGAAGATAAAAAGAAAAAGGAATTATCCATTTTGCTATTTGATAATTTCTGACTTCCATTTTGTGCATTGATCTAAAAATGAAGAGCGAAATTTTTAAAAATATGAAAAATGCACTTGACGTTCATATTTTCTAGGCACCTGATCCAGCTACAATTCGTCCTACTGAGGTATTGAAGAAGTCGCTCATCATGGTACAGGATCACTGGCGAGCCAATGCAGACTACAATTATGCATGTGAGCAGCTCAAATCAATTCGACAAGATTTAACAGTAAGTGACGTTCTTCTCTCCATCCCTGCCTCTTTTAATCAAATATAGTATTGTTTGATACCAAATAACTTTTTTTTTTTTTTTTTTTTTTAACAGCTGCAAGGAATTCGAGATCCATTTACTGTGAGAGTATATGAAACGCATGCAAGAATTGCCATGGAGAAAGCAAGTTTACTTTATTTTTTTTTTTTATTGTATATACTTTTAAAGAAATCCTTCCAATTCTTTGCTCCTAATTTCATTTGATCTTTTTATCACAATGATTAAAATTTCATATATTTGACATATCATTGTTTTTCTTGTTGCACATTTCATACGTTACAAGAGAAATGTCTATATTTCTTGTCTATTTACTCGATCCTATTTTCACTGCCTTTTTTTTTTTTTCTCCTCTTCACGTCCTTTTTTTTTTTTTTTCCTCTTCACGTCCTTTTTTTTTTTCTTCACGTCTTTTTTTTTTTTTTTCTTCTTCACGTCTTTTTTTTTTTTTCTTCACGTCTTTTTTTTTTTCCCTCTTCATGTCCTTTTTTTTTTTTCCCTCTTCACGTCCTTTTTTTTTTTCGTCCTTTTTTTTTTTTTCTCTTCACGTCCTTTTTTTTTTCCTCTTCACGTCCTTTTTTTTTTTTTTTCACGTCTTTTTTTTTTTTTTTTTTTTTTTTTTTTTTTTGTAAGCTAACAATTTCTTGCAGGGTGATCACGAAGAATTCAACCAATGCCAAACACAACTCAAACTGCTCTACCATGAGGGTCATTTAGGGAATGTGGCAGAATTCACAGCCTACAGGATTCTTTATTACATATTCACTTCTAATACTTTAGGTATCCTTTTTTTTTTCATGGAAAATTATTTTGTAAACAGTTTTGGGGATATGCAAACTGTATTTTGTAAAACAAATAGTTGCTCTGGAAAACAAATTCTAAATGTTTTTGTGTTTTTTTTTTGTTTTTTTTTATTACTAGTCATCATAAATATTTGATATTCCTATTATATAAAATTATAAGTGATGGGTGTTTTGGCATTTATTGATTTTATGAAAAAAAAAAAATTGTTGAAATTTTGGAATCTTTTTTTTTTTTTTTTTTCCTTCCTTCCACCCTTCTCTCCCTCAGACTTTATATTTCATTTTATCCTTAACTTTTTGTCTCAGATTTAACTACTGCTCTTTCCTCTTTAAAACCTTTACACAGAAAAGATGAATGTGTTTATCATGCATTAGAAGTGAGATCTGCTTGGGCACTCAATAATTACCATAGATTTTTTAAGCTCTACCGTTGTGCACCAAAAATGTCCGGCTATCTTATGGATTGGTTTGTGGAAAGAGTCAGAAAATCTGCATTAAAAACCATTGTCAAATCGTATGTATTTCAGTGCTTCACCTTTCACCTTCCACTTTATACCATGTTTTACTTCAGTTTATCTTAATTCTCTTCCATTCATTTTTAGTCCCTTTTTTTTTTTCTTTTTTTAAGATTTCCTTTAGTATGAGAAACGAGATTAACTTAGGTTTTGAAAAAAAAAAAGAAATACATAAAAACATACATGAGCCAAAACTGAAAAGAAAGTTTCAGTTTGTCCATTCTGGCTTCAAAATATTTCTTTTTGCAAATTTAGTGCCAATCACCAGTTGACTAACAATTCTAATACCTTTTGTTTAACTGCTCAATGCTTAACTGGAAATTATTTGGGATCTTTACAAAGTTTGGAATATGCATTATTTCCTCTTTCTTCCTGCTAAATTTTTTTCTTTTCCTTATTGTTAATTGTTTGAATATTTTAATCTCGGAAAATACTAAGTCTTACATGGATTATTGATTGGTTTAAGCTTCAAATATCCTTTTACCCAATTTGCAACATTGAAAAAGCCAGTAATTCTGGTTCCTGTGATTTTTCTATATTTTTTTTTTTTATCTTGTTCATTGTCACAGTTCTGTTTATAATATATAATGCTACTGTTGTTGTTGTCTGGCCTCACTTGTGGTTTAAAATGTTCTATCCTTTAATTCTGATGCCATTGCAATGCAAAATTGTCTTCTCTTTCAGCTCTGACCAATTTTATCAACAAATTTGGATTATTGCACTCTTTAATGTACATTTGTGAATATTCTAAATTTGCATGCTTCTTGTTTTTAGCTTAAAAGTTTATCTAAATTTACATTTGTGAACCAACATTAGATGTGTTAAAAAGCTTTGCCATTTTCTTTTTTTTTTTTTTTTAATCTGTTCATGTGACTTTACTGCTTTTGTAGTTAATTAACATCATGCATGACCCAATTATTCATGAAATTAGAGAATCCAACATTAACACTTATAATCAAGTGATTAATATAATTTTATCAAATTTTTTTTTCATATTAGTTTTGCTCTGAAGTAAAATATTTGGTTCCCTTCCTCACTAATATGCAATAGAAAAACAGATGAGCATTTTTGTCGGTTGATTAGAAATGTTTGTCTTGTTAGTCTGTATTTGTCTGCTGCTGTGTTGTACTTCATTCTGTAAGGATCACATTTGCTGCCAGATTTAGTTCTTTCCTTAGTCATTTTGGACATAACATCCAATGAAATGCATGCCCACTTTCTAAATATTTAACTAAGAAATTTGACTACAATGTTTCATCTAATTTGGAAAGTTTCTTTAATTACCCCACCCCATTTCTTCATTATGCTAGTTTCATTTTGAATCAATCTTTGTGAACATCTCCCCTCCCCTACCAACTCTGTTAAAATGCAAGTTTGATTTAATTTATATACTAACGTGTTCAATATAAATTTTAAGTCAAATTTAAAACTTCTGAGGGGAGGGACTCTTCCTTTTGCTAAAATAAGATGCAGAATCTTTTATACTTTTAAAGGTAAGTAAAGGAATTGTTGGTGAGTATTTTAGGTGTGTGTCTAAAAAATCTATTTTGCTTGATAGGTTTCGTCTTTGCTTGTGATTGTTTTGGTCTTTGGCTTTTTATTTTTTTTCCTCCTCCTTTCCAGGTAAGTTACTGTTAAATGTCAGTTTGCAACATTATTTTAAAATTCATGTCTACACACTATATATATATATATATATATATATATATTTTGTGTATGAATGTTTGCTCTTGTGATTAGGAATGCTAACATGTTGTTTTCTTCTTTTTCATCCTTGCTGGCCTGTCCGTTTGCCCTCTTCTCCAAACCACAAATACACCTAACCCACGTAATAGGTATCGTCCCATGCTGCAGATAGATTACATCCAGAATGAGTTGTCGTTTTCTAACCGAGACGACTGTATGCAGTTCCTAGTGGACAAGGGCGTGGTGCTAAGCGAAGACAACACAAAGGTGGATTGCAAGCAGAGCATGGCAGCAGTGCAGGCGTTGTAGTTGAAATCCTGCCCGTTCAACATATGCCATGCTGCTCACCCAGCGAGTTTGGTGGGGGGTGGGGAAAGTTTTTCCTTTCAGAAGGGTTAGCTCAGTGTCAATTTATTTTTCACTGCTACTTCTGACCACCTCTTGGTCATGTTTTGATTTTTGCCTCACCTTGGCACGGAGAATCACACATGGCTCTCAGGTGGGCTGTGATAAGGGTTTTAGCAAAAAAGCAATTTTTTTTTTTTTTTTTTTTTTTTAAAAAAACTTTTTTTTTTTCCTTCCATTACTTTTTCTTTAGTCTGCTAAACACTAAGGCTATCATTCATCTGCCAAACATCTATCTTGATTCCACATCCATCAACAAGCTCCTTAAACTTGCAAAGTATGTCTTTACATGTCAATAATTCCCAAAGATTTCTATTTTTTCCAAAACAGATATATTCCATATCAGCAGCTCGGACTATAAATCCTGAAGATTCCTGAATGCTTTGAAATCAGAATCTGAAATGAGTCCAGTGGAAGTTTGTGACCCTGTGCCAGTTAACTTTGTGGATAGTATTATGGGTTATCCAGGTGCAATTTTCCCCCCCACTTTTTTTTTATTTTTTGATTGCCTGCTCGTTCCTCTGCTTACACTTTCAACCTGGATGACCCATGTGACCACATCAGCTTCTATCTACTGGCCAGTATTACGCCTTCATCAGCACTTAAATGGTAAACATCTTTTCACTGGATCTCTTATCTTGGGAATATGAGTACAACCACCACCACCATCAACAACACCACCGGTCCCATTTCAGGACTTAGCTTTTTGGTTGTTTTTTTTTTTTTTTTTCCATTTTCATTCAAGGAATCTTACATGAGGACTTTTTGTTGAAGATTTTTCTCACCTGTAAAGCTTTCTCACCACTACTACCATGACCATCCACTTATCCGTTGCATCAAGATCATTAGCTGCTGTTATCACTGGAGGCTGTTCAGTTGGAGGAAAGTTTAGTAGCAGCTATTTCTTCTTGCTGTTTACCAATTCTTGTGACCATCGTCATGCTGTTGCTAATAAAGCACATCATCATTTTAGATGAAGGGATTTCATCTTCTTTTTAGCAGCAGTAGCCATCATTACCAACCACTTAATTGAAGCAGATGTGTCGGGTAGGTAACTGCCAGCTACTCAGGGACTCTTTCTCTTTCCGAGCTGCATCACCTTTATAAAACCTCATCTTCATTACAGGGGTTTCATTGTTGTAAAGATCTCGATTTCTTTTCTATTTATTGTAAATACATTTGTTGAAATAAATCTGTACAGGTTTATGATTGATGCATAACTAAGATTTTTTTTTTTTAAATTTATTTTCTTCTTAGACAAAATCTTATTTGCAGACAATCTCTCCGGCCATCACAGATATTCTACAAGTGACACTGAAAGTAATGCTCGGGGGGGGTGGAAAATAAGTCAGAACAAAATAACATTTCTACCAGACTGTTGCATTAAAAAAAAAAAAAGTCCCAAAAACCCACTGATTATTGGCACTAAAGTCCAACCTTTGCTGCTTGACCATCTGAAGGCAGAGATGGGGGGATACTTTTGAAGCAGGTATCAACTGATTGCTACTGAGCCATTCTGATTTAATGGCTTTTAATGTTGAGTCGCAGATTCTCTTTTGTTAATTAGTTTCCATAAAATGTCTAGAATTAACAGAGGCTTGAAACTTAATTGCAATGGAAATTTACTAGTTTTAAATTTATATCTTAGGATAGATATGGATTAGCACTTTTCATAAGATTTATTTACTAATGTCTATTATTTTTACTCAACCCAAGGCTTTCAAGCTGATAATTTAAATTATTTTTTTAAATACAGCAAAGAATTTAATCTAACTCAATTTTTCTTTTTCATTGCAGTGATGTAATCTCTACTAAATCTTCCAAAATTAAAATGGCTTTGAAACATCATTTAAGGAATATTAGCTGCTGATTTAAAGTATAGACTTAATAGAAGTTTTTTTTTTTTTAATACTCTGTAATCTAATGTTTCATTGAATTAGAAATTTTGGTCATCACTTTATTTTCTGATAATGTTGTATCATTGCATGTACTTACAAAAAAACAGCACACATTTATACACTAATAAAATAATTTTTATTTTAAAAACATTGGTGTCTGATGATTTGCATGAAGTGTTTTCATTCATGATTAGTAGTTTTCATTTGATATGAAAACAATTGTAAAAATTAATTAGTCCTAGAATTTTTTTTTTTTTTTTTTCCTTAAGGTATTTTTTAAAAACTCTAATTAAATACTGTCAGTTTTATGCTAAATGTGTTTTGACAAAAAATAAATTTGATTTAAATTCAAAGGAATCCTGCTTTTAACTAATATGAAGGGTGGAATTTTAATTTCATAAAATTTCCCATAGTAATCTCTGGCCCACCTCCTGACATGAGAAAAACTTTTTTTTTTTTAAAAACAATTTTGAATTTGCTAGAAAGGATTAAAAGAGAACCCCCCCCCCAACTTTATTATTAAGAGGGGGGGGGCAAAGTTTTTGACATAGGAATTCTTACTCTCCTCCACATCTCATGTTTTATGTCCTGGCCTTTAAAAAAAAAAAAAACACTCTACATCCAAACTAATCAGAAAATGCAAGAGTTTATCTCCAAACTTAAATCACAATAAAGCTAATAATGATAAAAAGAAATCAAGAAAGCTCTTTTGGTGGGGGGTTGCTTGACACAGGCTGAATTTTCTAAAGTAGTAAAGACTTCCCCTTAATCCACAATCAAGTTTCTCAGTTTCATGAAAGTCTGGAATATGAAACTAGTGGGGGCTTCAGTCAAACATTAACGGCCATTTTTGTACTGAGGCAATTATGGTGAAAGCACTAATGAATATTTGGCCTTTGTTCTCAGTGGCATATAGGGTTGATTGATTTGTTTTTTTTATGGCTTAACACGTAGCTGGGGGAGAATAGGTGAATTCATACACTGCTCAAGGGTATTTGTACATCAATGAATATAACAAACCCAACTGGAATTGAAACTTGGCTCTGCAATTCCAAGCCATTATGTATGTAATGTCATCAAGACAACTCCAGGAAATAGCATGACCCTATCAAGAAGCATCATCCAAGTTCTGATAGGAACAACTTTTGGTTTGAGGATTGTATGAAGACCCTGATACCAAATCATTTTAATACCTTCCTAGAATATATATGCACAGATATGAAGAGATGGAATATTTAAGCAATCAGTGCCCATGTCATATTCCAAATCAAGCTTCCTCTCTTGAGGATTGCATATGCTGATGACATTCATACTTGAGACAAAAATTTATCTTTAACAAAAAAAAAAAAAAAAATCTACATTGTCCAATAAGTGTTCCAAGAAGTAGGACTCAAGATAAAAGCCTTTCTGAAAGAGAAACAAGGATTTGGAATTTGAATGAATGAAAGTGATGGCATCTATAAAAATTCAGGATGCAGAATTAAATACTACACTTAAAATACCTCAGTATATGGATCAGTTGTAACAAATTTGAGCACACTAGCTCATTCTGGGGGCACTTTTATGCCAGCACCACAAGATGCTACGAAGCCTAAACATTAATGTGAGAATTTGAGTTCTGTTCTTAAAATAGCCTTGTCAGTTCTAAACTTGTATGGTGTCTAATTCTGCCAGCTGTGTACAACTGTTTAGAGAGAACCATCTTTCATTGGAGATTGGTACACTTCTTTCTGATTCTGTAATACCAAATAATATAAACTATAGTACTTGAAAACTTTTGTTACATGTTTATCCATTTTAGTTGTGTTAAAGAGAAAATGATGATTAATCAGGAGGTTGACTTTCCACATTGACTTCAAACAAGAAACCAATTTTCCTGAGAAACTGTTTTAAGGGAAGTTATTTATAAATTTCAATTGACAACAACATTTGTTTGCACAATGAATGCAGAATATTTCCAAGCCTAAAGAAATGGCTCATCTCACCATTATCAGATTATTGGAACTAAATCTTTTTCAAGGGAAGACAACCCAATTCCTCCAGCACTCCACTCATGAAATTTGGCTGTTGCTGATAATAAAGCTGTTATTCCTACAAATTAAATGATACATTTAAGTTTGCTATGAGAGAGAGAGAATTCACTTGCCCTCACCCTGTCACTTCCAAGGAAGAGACTGCAATGATGGGGATGAAAAATTAATGTGGCACCAAGGTGATAAGTATAAAACTGAACGTGTATCCAATGCAGTAAACCTTTAACAACAACAATTTTGGGTTCTGCTCTTTATGAAAAAAAAAAAGTTTCGCTTTTAAAAGTGTGTGGGGGAGTGGGGTAATGTAACAACAAAGACAAAATTTAACTTTTGTTCAGTTTAATGTGCTGATATAGAAGGTGGGGGAGGGGAAATGCTTTTTTATTTTTTTTTTTAATATAGATGAAAGAATGAGAACACTGGTATTTCATGTTTTGGTAGATGAATAAAGAAAATAAAATATTTGGGGGAAGTGATGAAAGCCTTTTCAAGTGCGTTTCTGTAATCATGATATAATACTAGGGGCATGCAAATGCATGCCTGGATTGCTAGTTTATCATGATGGAAGGGATGAAAAGAGACAAATTAAGATTATTTCCAGAGTAAAAAAAAAAAAAAGTTTGGGGTTTTTTTTTTCAGAAATAGAAAGGAGATGGGGAAGGGGATATTTATTCTTTTCAACTGTCTTAAATTTTTAGGGGGGGGTGTTATGAGAAGATAAAAAAGAAAAGGAAAAAAGCCTGAGGCAATCTTGTCAAACATTCATGCATATGAAACCCAAACACATTTTTTCATTACCTAAAAGGTAAAGAGGTTTTCAAATATTCTTTTTGGGGGGGGGTATACAAAAAGTATAGCCTCAGAAAAGGAGATATATATATATATAATACACAAATATGTCTGTAGGAATCCATATCTACAAACATGTATTTTTTTTTTTCCTTTTTATGCATGGAAAAGGGCATAGTCTTTCCAGTTGGTGGTCATTCTCATGTGAGTGGGAGTGCAGTAGGAGTATTGAGTGTGGCTTGTGCCAGAATATTAATGGCAGTAAGATCTGCTTCCGTGAGTTCAGTACCTCCACTTGATGTACACTCCACCTCGTACTCCACTTGATTAGGTGCAATGAAAAAGAGTGGAGCCTCAACACTCTGCTCTACACTTTCTGTGGCACGAGCTGTCTCATTCGGATCTTGTACCTGTTCCTCATTTTGCACTAACTCAGCTGCTACCCAAGTCTCCTGTTGTTCTGGGGTAACTGCAGCTGCATCAGACGTGAATACTGAGTAAGTGTTGGAGCCAACAGTAATTTTCAATTGAGGACATGGCATGGTAGTTTTCTTTCGCTTGGGAAGAGGTGACACTTCACCCGTATGCTGAGACGCATGACTGCGCAGATATTCTTTCCTCAGAAAACGCCTACCGCAGTGTTGACATTCATAGCGTTTCAGACCCATGTGAGCTTCAATGTGACGTTTGAGACTTCCTACAAAACAAAAAAGAAAAAAAAAAATGACATCAACAAGAACAAGGCAGATGTCAATTTCTTATGAAAGAAGCAGTAAATTAGATTTTAAAAACAAAAACCTTAAAGCTATTGTACAAAATAGAAATTCTGAAGATTTGATTACCCTTAAATTTAAAGCAAATTTGTCACCACCTCGAATATTACAAAGTTAAAAATTTTATAAAATAGTCACATGATGACACTCCTGCTTTTCCTTTATCAATAATAAAAAAAAAAACGTCTACATAAATTTCAAAGTGAAAATTTGTTTTCTATAAATGATGCATTCAGCAGAGGAAGGGGGCGTAGTCAAAAAAAAAAGAAAAGAAAATCATAAATTGCTTTTTTCATTGCGAACTATTCCTTATATAATATCCAAGTATTTTACAAAATATTAGTGCCAATTACACAATATTTCAATCTAAATGAAATGAGGTAACAAAAACCATAGATTTGTCTGGAATATCATTACGTTATTGTTACATAATTATAGTGAAATCATTAAGGTTTTTTGTCAAAAGTATTTTATTTTTGGTCGTATATTAAAATATTCCTTTTTACAGGCTTTATTTTTGAAATGGAATAAAATCATTCTAAATTTCAGAATTTAACTATTGCCTATGACTGGAAGAAAGCGATCTAAAAACAATGGAAAAGAGAGGTAACAAAGCGTAAACAAAATAGCTTCAGTTTGTTCAACTGAAGAAACTTAGCATTGCAGCCAAATTATTCTAAAATGCTGACAATAACAAAGGAGAAAATGAAAAATATTATCAACAAATTGAATATAGCATCAAAATTTATATTATTTTTATTTATTTGTTATGTAACTAAATACATAATTGTCAACAATGTTTCTGTAAAACTTGATATTTCCTGTAATAAATTCTTAATAAATATTATTGTAAGGTTGTCCAACATTTACAATTCCTTACGACTAACCATGAAAAGAAATGTTTATGAAAACTTCCTAAAACATTTAAGCACGTATTGCCACAAAATTATCAAATGGTGAATACACCCCCCTCCTTCACTGAACACGTTAAATGTACAAGATGATTGGATCTTGTCAAGGCTAACAATGTGTGTACAACTATTTCCTGCTACTTCAATAATTATGGGAGAGTGATTTGCCCAAAAAAGGAAATTTAATTCCAGACACTCAAATTTGCGGAAAATTCAAAAAATTTACCTCATTAATATGAATCAAACAAGCTGTCAATATTCACTAAACATTATTTCAATTTTTGGGCCCAAATATGGAAATTTGGTTTTAAGATTTTTGTTTTCTTTCTGAACGGTCTATTGTTGATACAAGATTAACAAGCCCTCAACCAGCTCCAAAGTCTAATTTTTTTTTTTTTTTGTCTAGTTAGGGTCAAATATCTGCAAACCCCATGTAATGGCCCCACTGTACTCCAGCCTCCATAAAAGAACTTTTCTTGTTCATTTTTAGAAGAGGACAAGCAGAGATGTTCAAACATATCACCACCAAACTTTTTCAGCTTCTTGGTTAAGCAGCTGTGATATTTTGTCAAATATGATATCACACAGTCAGGCTAGCAGTGATGGAGAACAAGAGAAGCAAAAAGCCCAGTTGAAAGTTGACAGTTACTTTTCTTTGGTTTATATACTTAACAAAAATTCTATATGGATGTAAAGAGTCCAGAGCCAATGGAATTATACTAAACTTGGTCTGCAGTTTTATATTGGAAAAAAATGTTTAAAAAAAAAAAAAAAAAAAAAAAAGCCTTTTTTTTTTCTTTTTAAAAAAAACAAACACAGAGTACAGGTAATCTGAGTGGATCCTAGTAATATTAATTATTAAAACTGATTCACAGAGTGCTCGATGTTTTTATTTTAACAGAGCATATGTATTTTTTACAGCAAAAAAAAAAAAAAATTACCCCAACATAGATAAAGTCTGTATACGACTTGATAGCCATATACAAAACAGCTTGAAATAGACTATATCTATGTTGAGGTAAATTTTTGTTCTTTTGCTATATATATAGATATAGTCTGTTTCAAGCTGTTTTGTATATGGCTATCAATAGTCATATACAGACATATATATATATATATATTCATGAATTATTCACACAAAAACAAAAGCAAAGGTTAATGATTTAATTGGCGAGAAATCCATCATCGCAAACAATTCAAATAATATACAAAAACCTCCATTTACCAGTAAAAAATTCGTTCATCACCATATTTATACGAACGCACAACCTTTAAAAATTTAAAATCAAACTCAGCGTTGCTACTGCGCGCTCCAAAAATAATAACTCATTTTCAATAGCATTTTCGGATACAACAATACATATATTTTCGTTGTCCTCTTATTACTAAGAGAAAAAACAAGAACAACATCTATTCTATACCTAAGATGTCTGTAGGAACAGATGAAAGCTTGTAGTAAAAATAAGAACTAATACGGCAGAAATTTATGGAAACAAGGATCAATTCATTCATAACGGATTCGGAGGTTTTTGTATATTATTTGAATTGTTTGCGACGATGGATTTCTCGCCAATTAAATCATTAAAGTTTGTATTTGTTTTTGTGTGAATAATTCATGAATTTGTAAATTGATTGCACACACACACATATATATATACACACACATACATACACACACAGTGCGATGGGTAAATTGTCACCATTATATATTTCTAATTTTGCATATGTGTATTGTTTGTTTTGGACTTTGTCAACTGCACAGTATAGTAGGGTCAGTCTGTGAGAAAAAGACCACTATGATGCAATTCACTCTGCCAGAAATTTAGAAATGGCATGCTGTACTGCTTGGCATTCTCACTGGAAGCTCCAATTCAGAGTTTTGGCATCAATCTGAGGACAATGCAGAGGATTTGGAAAGAATTGGAGAAATATTATGGTGATTTCAAAAGTATGGCAGCTCGGAAAACTCGCTCTGATCATTCTGATAAAAGAACTCCCGAATTTGTTGATGAGGACCTCAGACTCAACATGGAGCATCTTGAGGTGGTAGTGCTGCCCTGTGTCAAGAAGGTGGCTGCTAGGAGACCCTATCCATGGCAATATGACCCTGCATCATGCCACACAAGCAGGAGAACTCAGTCATGGCTGTCAGACAATTTCTGCAACCACATCACCCCTTACATCTGGCCACCTAACTCCCCAGACTACAATCTCCTTAGTTATTATGTGTGTGGGATGCAGTTGAGTGAGAGACCAACAAAACTCCTTGTAACACTGAAGATGAACTGAAAGCAAGGATTATGGCAGCATTCACAAACTTAAACAAGAAGACTGCCCGGAAGAGTTGCAGGAGATTCTGAAGTTGTCTGGAGGCCATGGTTGAAGCCAATGGCGATTTTATTGAATAAATTTACTTAGTATTTAAAGACATTTTTGTGTAATTTTGGTAAATATATCGGTTAAAATGAGATGTCAGTGTTATTTTTGCATCAATTAGATGACAATTTATCGATCGCACCACTATACATATATGTATGTATGTATGTAAAAATGTATATATAAATGCATGCAAAGTAGCTTTTTATGCAAGTTAGGTAGAATTGTACTACAACTGATGTGTGACTTTTGACTTACGCATTGCCGTGAAGACTCGATTACATTCAGCACACTTGTAGACTTTTGGGACTGCAGGATGCTTGGCTTCCATGTGTGCACGCAGGCGGTTCTCAGAAGCGAATGGCCGGTTGCAGACCTCACATTTCTGTGGATTCTCAACTCCTTTCTCATGGACCATCATATGTGACTGTAGCGATTGTGTTCTTGGGAATCCCTTACCACATATGCTACATCTAAAAGGCGAAAACAGAAAAATACCAGACATTATTTTAATTTTATCAATTTTATTTTTGGATTGCTATTAAAATTATTTATAACAGCAACAACAAAATATAAACATGATTTTTAGGCAACAATAGGTGACAACAATTATTAAGAAAATAAATTTGTAACACAAATGCTTTAACAAAATTTATATATTTTATTTTAATCAATTCACCCCATGCAAGGGGTGAATGCCACTAAGACAGAAGGAGTTAGTGGCAGTGAAGGGGAATGAGAAGAATTTAGAAGGAATCAGAAACAATGATAGACAGGAAACAAAAGAATAAACCTGTACTCCTGTTCAAAAGACATGGAGAGGAGTGTGAATCGGACAATAGGTTATATCATATGAGAGCCACCCCAAAAGCAATGCTCCCCACCATTTTATTTCACTGGTCCCCATGATCTCAGATAGAGATATTAAACATACAGCAAAAGAAAGCAAGCATTCTAGCCATTTTTTTTTTTTTTTTTTTTTTTTTTTTTTTGCTTTGTTACAGATAGCAGCCAAGTAGCAGTCTGGCAAAATGGCATCCGACATAAAAGTTCATATGAAACAATAATTAACATTCATTACAAATTTTGGAAAATTTATAGAGACCAAAGAGTAGACATGAACACATGTTGAGAGCAAATGTGTTTTCAAAAGCAGTAACAGTGATGGGTGGGATAAGCAACCTCCCAAGTACAGAATGCAGATTTGTGTTCAGCATTGGCAAAAATGCATTTGCCAGTATTGCTGTCTATGTGGGAAAGAAAATTAATCCATCTAACGTTGTGTAGTTTGGGAGGAAATAAATATGATTCATTACTTTTGGAGTATCCCTCATAATATCAGATAGTTTGGAAAATTAATTTTTCAGTTTTCAAGACATGAAAGGGGGAAAGAAAACAAAACAAAAAAAAAATAAAACATACAAATAAGGTTTTTCTCCTGTGTGTCGTCTCATATGAATGCGAACATATTTACGTTCAGTGAATCTTTTGCCACAAACTTCACAGCCAAAAGGTTTCTGGCCAGAATGAGTGCTCATGTGAACTGCAAGCAAAAACAAAATCAGTTTAGATTTATGTATGTGTGGATCATTCCATATCAGCTCAACCAATGCTCCCATGGGCACCATCTCAGATTTATTTATATATATATATATTATATATATATATATATATATATATATATATATATGGTACACCCCAATCAGAAGCCCTAAAACCCTAATATTTTAGCTTCCATTGCCACTTGGTTCAGAAGCTATGGCCTGATGAAATTTGCTGTCAATTTTTGTTGCTCTCAAAATGGTACAATTTGCCAACTTTGACACTTCATAAGTTTGCATTTTAAGAAGATATCAAAATGATCATTTCATAAAAATCTGAGATGGTGGCCATGGGAACTTCAGAAAATTTAGTTTTGATTTGGAATAACCCAATATATGTGCAAAGAAATCATTCAACTCTTCTACTAGGATAAATAGCATTATTTGAATTTCTTTTCTTCTTTGGGGTTACAAGGGCAAAGAGAATTTCCATTCTAAATTTTAGTGTCTAAAACCTGAATTCATAAAAAAAAAAGAAAAAAAGTTTATATCAGTAAAATATGTATTTCCATATTTTAAACTGTCAAGCACCTTTATTTATTCAACATTTTTGATACCAAGACAGAGTTGAACAACATGAATTCCCCAGAGGCTAAATAAATAGCATGGATGGAAAACTGTCAGAGCATTGTGAAGAGGAGAAAATGAAGACAAGATGCAAGTTTACAAAAGAAGGATTTTAATACATAAAGTGGGGAAGATTTTAACATCTTTTTGTGTTGAATGTTAAGTTCAGATGAATTTAATTTGAAAACTTAACAAAAGAAATTCAAATTGTTCTTTAGCAATTTGATTTTATAATTTAAAACTTATAACCTTTTGGCGCAATTGCAACAGAAAAAGTTTTGGTTTTATTCAATTTTAAGAGACTCAGATATTTCACTGCAGAAAAGCTAATGACTACTTTTCATGGAATAAGAATTTCCTTGAAGAGAATTTGAAACAATTTATTTGGATTCAAAAGCCAACAACTGGTAAAATTGTATTATAATTAAATTTATGGCTTCAGCTGTTAACCTGTTTTAAATCCTGTCTTTTTACTCCAACTGAATTTTGAGCAAATTACTATCATGCAATTATTAGTAAGATAATCTTGCTGAACATTACAACTGCAGTAGGTTTTCATCTTTACTGTGAACCCCCCCCCATACATTACTAAACTGAGTAAAATATCAATACAAAGAACTAATCTCCCTTCCACTCTTTATTAAACTTTCATTTCTATCTTTACTAGTTATTGGATAATCTACAACAAGAATGTGGCCTTGACAGACATATCATCAGCTTAAGAATAAAAAGAGAGGTGTGTTCTCGTACTCACTTTGTAATGTGACTGGTCCACCAAACAAGGCACCACAAATACTACAGGCAAGTTGTTTTTTCCTCTTTCCTCGTTTCCCTTTCACCTTCTTGACGCCTTTCTGGATCCCCAATTCTGTCAGTGAAGGGTTCAAACTGACACATTCTTCTTTAATCACCTCCCCTTCTTCCAGTTCACCCTCCTCTTCCTCCTCCTCTTCAAAATTCCTTTTTAGGCTCACTACAGAAGATGAAGCCCTCACAGTGGTAACTGGAGTCTCAACATTTTCCCCGGCAACTGCGGTCTGTCTCCGTTGGATCATCGAAGTCAGGGTAGCAACATCGTCCGGCATTTCAATGTCATCCACTTCAGATTTCAGATTGTTCACAGCACTCTGCACTTCATCCATATCATTAGCAGCAGCATCATCAAGAACATTCTTAGAGTCCTTTTTCAGTTCATCATTCAGTCGCCTTGGGTGCACACGCTGTGACAGGCTCCTGACCACCTTTGGAGTTTGGTTTACATTGCTTGGTGAGCCAGTTTCGGATGTAATTGGTACAACAATCATAGTATTTACTGAACTTCCCGACACACCCTTAGAGGTCACTACTTCCTCATCCAGGTCTTCCTCCTCTGAATCGTCCAGGTCATCAATTACGTCACTGTCTTCTGTATTACAGGCAACCTCACTGTACGTCTTCACAACCTTTTCAGAAACAGGCAAAGCAACCTCTGTTGGTTTTATCATCTCACTGGCATCAACCACATTACTATCAACAGCTTGAGCCTCGGTTAAAGCTGCAGCCTGACTTTCAGATTGTATGGCAGTAGAAGAGGCAGAGACACTATCAGTAGTGGCTATTTCACTCGAGGCAGTCGTAATGGTGACCGTATCAGGTTCACTAGCTGATGTACTTGTAGTGTTAGGAGGTGGGGTAGTGATGGACTCAACCACAGTGATAGTTGTAGTAGGTTCTGCAATGTCAGCAGTCTCCAAGCAATTAGCAGATGCTGCTACATTTGCCTCAGCTGCTTGAGCAGCTTCAACTAGAGCTTCTTCCATGGCATCATCATTTCCCCGATTGTCAGAAGTCTTCAAAGAATTGCTCTTTACTTCGACATTTGGGGTTTTCTCTTTGAGACCAACTGATGTGAGTATGTTCTCAGGTTCTTTGTCACTTGAAGGCAAGTTTGTCGGATCTTCGACAGCCTGTAAAAATAAAACAAAATATCAAATAAAATGCATTGTGATTCAACAACTAATTTTTTTTTTCCTGGGAAGTGGTGAACAGATAGGTCGGCACAATGCATCTGCAAACTTTACAATTTAAATTCCATTTTTATCAGGTTGCTTTTGGTTTCTTTTTTTATCATAGCCAAAAAGCACCTAAATAGAAATGGAAGAAAATTTTGAAATTACAATTTCAACATTTTTCTTTTCTTTTTTTCTTTGGTCTTTTTTTAAATGGTTTAAACAATACTAATGTCAAATTTAAGTACAGAAGATGCTTATATATATATATATATATATATATATATATATAAAAAAAAAAAAAAAAAAAAATGGTAAAACAGGGATCGCCTGATGAAAGACAAAGGCCGGTAAAATGAAAGACATTGTGTAGCAGACAACATTAGGCTACTTTTAGTTCAAGTATAAAAGAAAAAAAAAAGTTTTCATCTTTTTATAAGTAATCATAAATGTAAGAAATATTGATGTCTAATTGACAAGTGTTTTTTGAAGCCGATTCAGGCCGATAAAAAATTCAGGTTTCAGCTTCATTTTGGAGATTACACTTTGTGCCTTTCAAATGATTTATTTAAACTTACATCATTCACTTTTGGGGTTTCTAAATTCCCATGGATCATTCAAACGAAGATTATTAATCTGTCCTTTTGACGTTACTGATTACATGATCAGCAATTTTACAACCATTAGTCTGAATGCTTTAAAACTTCATTGTGGATTTCAGATTTTACAATACACAAGGAAAAGAGAAATTTTAACTATTGCACTCTGCTAACAAATCATCAATGATATATACTCTAGTTTTTTTGCAGATTTCTGACTGAAGTTCTTTGGTCAGTATTTTTTTTTTTTTTTTAATAACTAGTATTGAGTCTTTATTGATCCCTTGGAACAGAGGTTCTAATTTCCTTAGACAAGCAGAGACTTGCCTATTTGTTCCTACATAGATTCACTGATTTGTCTTTTACTAAATGCCAACATTTTCACTTACCCATCCCTCAAAAAAAAAGGGGGGGGGGAGTCTATGGGAGGATTCATTTCATGCTGACCTTTCTTCTGGATATGATGCTATATTCAACAAAAATGAGCACTGTCTAAAATGCCTTGCAATTCATCAATTCACAAGAAGGTGCCTACAGGTATTCATTAAGCTTAATCTGACACAAGACAACATATAAGCGAGACTCGGCTAGCATTGACACACTCCTCACCTGGATTAACATCAGTCGGCTAAACCATATCCTAGCTCAGGACACAGAATATTACATAATGATCATTATTAAAAACTTCACCAAGCAAGATTAATGTATCAAAAAATATGAGAGGTGATGAGTGATGGTAAGGAAGAAAACAAAAGAGGCAATTGGTGTATGTATCCGATATTTTAAAGCCGGGTGAGAAACTTACATTTGCTGGATTCATGTCCATCATGAAATATTCTGCAAATTTGGCCAGCTTATCTTCCTGGGATTTCTGTTTTTTGTCTTCAGGGAAAACTCTTGTCAGACAACATTTTTCCAAATATTCCTTTAAGTCTCTGTTCATGCCAACCCAAAAATAGTTGCCATGCAGAATTGCTTTCGTACGTTCCACTCCACGATGAATGCCTACAAGAACAAAAGTAAAAATTTTAACAATCTCATGGCTACATTGTCTACAAGAAACAGGAAAACTAATTTCTTCAAAATGCAGGATTCTGATGTAGACAACTTTAGGATCAAATACAATTTTTGATAAATATCTTTGTATATAGTGATGCAAAAGTTTTCAGTATTTGAGGATAAATATAAATTCAGAAATCCTAGAAATTCATCGCCTTATTTAATCATCAAAATATTTTCCTTTCTTTTCTATAACCATGTGACACTTTCCAGTTAAAACTTGTTTTTTTAATAAACATTTTTTTTTAAAAAAAAAATGTTTTCAAATTGTTGAGGAAATAAGAAGTGTAACAATCTGAAGATCAAATCTGGAGAATAAGTTTCAATGAGTGTCCTCTATCAAAATCAGATGATTTCTTTGGACCGGGTCTTATGTCTTTTATTCAAATTGATCACTGTAGTAAGTCATAAAGAAATGTTTACATGCAGATGTTAATTTCTATAAATCCATGTGGAAGATATTTTCTTAGATTTTTGCTTATATATGACTTACTGCAGTTGACTGATTTGCACAAAGGTGAAAAAAAATAAGGAGCTAAGGTTAAAAAAAAAAAAAAAAAAAAAAAGAAATATTTTAATTTCCTTGTCCACTAATGCATCAAAAAAAAAAAAAAAAAAAAAAAATTTTAATTTCCTTGTCCACTAATGCATCAAAAAAAAAAAGAAAAAAAGAAAGAAATTTTAATTTCCTTGTCCACTATCAAAAAAAAAAAAAAAAAAAAAAAAAAAGAAATATTTTAATTTCCTTGTCCACTAATGCATCAAATCCCTCTGGATTTAAGTGATTAGGAGGAAATAAAACTCAATCAAGCACAACGATTTTGCCTTTCTTTGTTGGATAGGATTGGGGATCAGTTCAAACTGCAGAAACTACTGATGTCCATTTTCAAAGATGTGGAGAATCTCAACTGGATGCAGAGAAAAGAAAGTTCATTTCAAAAACACATTAATTGGCTTTGCTTGAAACAAAAACGGAGACAATTCTTATCAAAGATACACTCATTCTTATCTAATTCGCATTCAAAAGCTTCTTAAAACATATTTAAAAGTGGTGCTGCTGTAATAATCATATTTGGACAATTAACAGCATGTATTGTAGATTTTACAAAACTGCTTTGAAAAGCATTAGCCCCTATAGCTAAGAATTTCTTAAAATGAGTGGCTAGTTACAAATCTAACATTAACCACAGGAGTTCTTTTTCATGTTCTCCATTTTGAAAAATAAAAATTAAAATGACCAATTCTGCTTATTATAAAAAAAAAAACAAAAAAAAAAAAACAACAACTTCTTTAATTACTGGAAACAACATGAAAAAGATTTTGAAAATTGTCAAGTTTGGTTTGGTTTGGTTGTTTTTGCTTAGTGGCATATCAACTCCTATTGGTTATTTAACCCTCCATCTACCAAGAAAACTGACTTCCGTTAAATACCACCTGGGTCCAATGGATCCATTTCTAATTTTTTTTTTTTTTTTTTTTAAACTATTTAAAACATTTTGCATTTTTTAATGATATTAGGTATGTATAATTACAGATGGACTAAGTAATAATTTTAATCAAAATTTATTCACTGAAACAGAAAAATTACAATACATCTTTGCATTTAGTTTGAAATTAACTTAATTATATTTTAAAAAAAATTACAATTCATCACTATATTTTGCACAGAATATGTTTAAATGAGTTTGACAGACATGTTTTTGGCAAATAAGACAGACAGTTTGCATTTTATCCATTTTAGGACCACACATCTTTATTTATTTCTCTCATTGGATGCTTCCTGGACAGTGTATTGTTCACTAGATCTTTTATCAATGCCTGCAAGACCCGAATACCTTCAGCATTTGTTCATTTTTGGATTATTTTCAGATTTAGCTTCTTGAACAATATAAATAATGAAAGAACTGAAACACAAGATCTTCTTTCAAAACATGAAGGTCCAGGCTTTTGATGTAAGAAATTTGTAGGATAGAGTTTTTCCCTGTACCATTTCAATCGGTTTAGAAGACTAAATTTCAGACTTATCTTCTGAATAATGTATTTCATTCATCATTGAAGGATTTGAATAATCATTTCTGTCAGCTTTGTGGTCATCATTCATATAATCATCCCATTCTGAATAAGTAATGCTGACATTATGACTTTCATTATCATCTTCAGAAAAAAAAAAAAAAAAAAATGAAACCTATTTAGAATGGACAAGATTTTTTATTTAATTAAAAATTTTAACCATGGGTCCAATAGACCTACTTGATAATAAAAGATGTCTCTCACCAAAATTTTATGTTTTGTTCTAAATTTATTTCCCTTACGTAGATGATAGAAAATGAAGAAAAAATAATTCACAAAAATTATTTGAAAAGAATACTTATAAGGATGAAAAAAAAAATTAGTTTTGAAAAAAAGAAATTATAAACTCATTGGTAGATTGAGGGTTAATGCTGAAATCTAAATATTTTTTTTTTACATAATTTTATGCCTTCAACTACAGATACTTTGTACATCTTATATTTTCATGTGTTTTATAGCCATATAGTTTGTAGATAGCCTATTATAGGTGTTATATGTTTTGGTATAAACCTATTTCTTTAAGGTGGGTCATTATGTTGACAATTTCAATATTTTCAAATAGTTTTTTTTATCGTGTATCAACCTTTTGCAGGTTATTTAAAGCCAGAAAGTATTTTAGATTGTAAGAAATATTTGGGAGATAATGATTTACTGATAAATCCTATTAATTAACCCATACTTGGGGGGAGAAGTGGTGGATTCATACCTTTCCCAAGGGTATTTGCGCTTAAGTGAATATAACGAACCCGACTGGAATTGGAATTCGGTTCTCCAATTTCCAATGCCGAGCTGTTATCCATGACAACACTGGCACATCCAAGCTTACAGCACCTGGTATTCCCAAGCGGTTACCCATCTAGGTACTGACCAGGCTCAATGTTGCTTAACTTTGGTGATCGTATAAGAACAGGTTTTCCAACGTGATATGACCATAAGCCAAAAATTGTCTAGATAAAAGAAAAAAAAAAAAAAAAAAAGTTTTTAAAAGCTGATAAAATGAAAGCATCCTTAGATATTTTCTCATGAATTGGTTTGGAAAATGAACTAGGTAATTATTGAATTACAATAGGCATCCATAAAAGATTTTTTATCTTAGTCTGGCACAAGCAATAGTAGTTGAGCACTCCATAATACTTTGTATAGAAAATGGGAAGCAACAGAGTTTGAGAAAAGATTATAACCTGTTCTTAAAATGTGAATCTCTGTGAGAATCTTCTGTTTTTCTGCAGCAGTCATGATAACCTTACGCAAACCATCAATGCCTTGATGCTCAATATGGTAGAGTAGACCATCTGCACTGAGTTTATAGCTGGCTGACTCTTTCTCAGCATATTCAATCTCTTCTGCAGTCATATTAGCGGTCTTCTTGTTGCCACCCACCAGAAACTGCTTCAGGCACTCATAAAGCTTGATTTGAGCTTCCTCTTTTAATGGAGCTGGCTCTGCATCAGCCTAAAAGAGATAAGTTAAGACACACAACATTTCAATTTACTGCTATGAAAAGCTGAAAAGATATAGATTTCTGGTCAACCTTGTATGACTTATTGTCTGTATGTGGTTTAGGTGTGTGGGGGGGGGAGAGAGAGAGAAAAATTCACATTTGTAATTTAATGCCAAATGTATCTGGACTATATATACGAACTTTTACCTGCCCACTGACTTTATCACTACTTTCCTTGCTTCATTTTCATCCCTTTTCACACCAACAAACTAAATATTTCAGCTGGTGGCAGCAGACAAAAAGGGTTTCATAATTAAATACCAAGTAATTTTTTTTTCTGCCATAAAAATATTTTTTTTATCACTCAAATATTTGAACTGAAAAATCAGAGTAAAAGGGATTGTCAGTGGTCAAGAATTAAAGCAAAAATAGAGCCATCAGATGTAGGATTTTAATCATCTTAATAAAGGCTATTTACTGTTATCTCTTTTTTTTCTTTAGTTAAATGTTTCATAAAATGAAAATTGTTTAACTTTGAGATGTCTGAATGGGAATTTTAGGCAACTTTGCAGTTTTTTTTCCAAATATAATTTAAAATATTATGACTATGATATACACAGTTATTTACAGAAAGTTAAAGAAAATGTTTTATGAGGTTCAAAATTATCAAAACACATTGAGAACATCAAAGATATGGTTCGTGTGAATAATTTCCCAGACAACTGCCAGAAGAAATGCATGTGTTTTTCAAAAAACTTTACGCATCTAAAAGTTTAAACGTGTACCTTTTGTCAAATCATATGAAATAGCAAAGAATTTTTACTGCATGTAGAATTCTTGTAAGAGTTGTTTGTTGTTAAAGATAATTAAGAATATGGGTTTTTCAATGACTGAAGAAATTATATTATAGATTTAAATTTAATTTCTATTTGTAAACAATATATTGTCTTTGGTATGATAAAATGTTATGACAGAAATGGTTTTAAAAAACAGGAAAAGAAAAATAATTTACTGACTATCAAATTGCTTTTAACTTTCAATTTTTGTTTATTTAAAAGTAATCTGTAAGGAAATAAAAATTAATGGCCAATGAAGTATTGATAAGCCCCTGACCAACAAAAAAAGAAAAATGACAAGGATAATTACAGAAAAGCAAAAATGCAATGAAACCCAAGAAACTTAGAATTGAAAACTAAAAAATGAGAAAGACCTCCTTGATTAAATTTAAGAAGCTTTCTTGAGCTGGATTAGGATCTCCTTCAGACTTCCTTCGTTCATTGCCATGCTCACAGACAGGACAGGTCTTTACGAGAGCAAGAGCATCCACTGTCATCCCTTTCCAGTAATAGTCATTCAAACGTGCAAGCGTTCGGAAACGTCCAAGATGAGTGCCTGTAAAAAAGGCAATATAGAAAAATTTAATGAATCCATTTTATTAATATATTTAAGGTTACTCTAAAAGAGAATTGGTTTAATGAGTTTTTTTTTTTTATTTCATACTGACACAGCAACATTCTATTGGCTATGTGTAAATGTTCCCAGCATTATTTTGACTGAAAACTTTTTACAAAAACGACATGTAATTATCGAAAAGGAAACGAAAAACTATACATTTTAACATCTAGTAAAATTCACTGATGTTTGATGGGGGGAAGGGGGGGGGCTTTGTCTTTTTTTAAAATCAGTCTCAAGAATCACATAGTAAGGAAAAAGAAAAATTCACAATGAACTATTGAACTTTTTACAGAATAATAAACTAAGCAAACCTCTAAATAAATTTACATCAAATTTAAACTCTACTATTTTTTAAGATCAGTAGAACTACTTTTATATAAACAAAAGAAAAATGAAATCATTAAATCAATGCTTGAAATGAATTCAGAGAAACATTTAAATAATTTACATTTATTTCTTGCATTAAAAACACTAAGATTACATTTCATTCTGTGCTGGGAGCTGATTTTCATACCAAAGTTTGTATTTTTTTTTCTTTATTCATTTGCCAAATTCATTTATTAAAAAGAAATAAAGCAATAATAAAAAAAAGCAACAGAAGTGTAATTTCCTCTTACCATTTTCTAAGACATGAGCTTCCTTGAGAAGCTTGAATCGTTCTAATTCATCCATCACAGTCTTCTTCAATTTGGAGCCAGATTTATAATAGAGAACATCTTTTTCAATAACATAGTTCTGAGCCATTTTCCGTATGACTCTCTTATAATCATCTTTAATACCTGCAGGATATCGTTTATGTTGAACATAGAGCTTCAAGGCTGAATAGTAATCGTCTAATGGAACCTGGTTAAGAGTGAAAACAGAAAATATATTGAAAGATAAATTTTGCAACAAGGATCTTATAAAAAAAAATATTCAAAAGAAAAAATATAGCAAAAACATTTTCAGGCTATTAAGAGGTTTTATAAGGTTAAGCCATTTTTTTTTAAGAGGAAATATTTCTAACTAATCCATATCAAAGCAATTTGATTATTTGAACTTGGAGATGCATTTTTGCTCTTTATTTTTGACCAGTGTTATCTTGCTAGATATGAGAATGTACCTAGAATCCTATTATTTTTCAGTAAAGTGAGAAGGTGCTGCTTAGGAACAGGTCCTCAAGCATTCATAATTATTGATTTCCAGCTGATGGACATAAATCTGCAACAAAAACCAAAAATAAGCCCCCATAAGAAAGGGATACATGTCTAACTAGAACACGACTATGATCCACATTCATTAGTTAAAAGTCGCTGGGGAGGTGCAATAAAAAGAGGAAGAAGATGAAAGAAATAATAAAAATTACTAAAGCTCCATGTTTTGACCAATTTTCATGAAAATTTTATAAAAATTTAAATGTTTTACTACTTACATCTCTGTTTTCTCTTTTTTTGCGATTATTCCCTTTCTTTGGTGAATAACGATTAACAACATCTGAGTAATTTTTTTTTTTTTTTTACGTCGACCTGAAGACATTTCATATCCTGAGAGGCCATCGTCTTCATCATTCTCGGTTTCTCCACCTTCAATTTCAGTTTCTGTATTTTCTTGAGTACGCCTACGGGTCGATCGGGTCGAAGCTCCACGACCCCGCTGTGACTTGGTAGATTTTTCCTCAGCAATAGTAACTGATTTCTTGGATCTAGTTGAAGTCGGAGTGACAGTCAATGCTGTAGTTGCCTTCTTATTTGAAGAGGCAGGTGGATCAAGAGGTGTAGATGTGTCCATGTTGGAATGATTCAATTTACCATTTATGTCTTTCATTGCTGGTGTAGAGAGAGGAGTGGCAGGCTCAGCTAAATCTTCTTCATCTGGAGAATAGTAAAGCATTGGAGAGTCGGCATTAGAGGAAGCCTTCTCAGGGGTGCCAGTTAAATAAATCTCTGATAGGGCTTTGCTGGCCTTCATTAATCGAGACTGAGTAGCACGCATCTGCACTTCAGTCAGGTTAGGGTCCAAATCACTGTTTGCTTGCCGATGAGAAATACTAGTTGGAAGACGCGGTTCTCTGAAGAGAGAAACAAAGAAACTTTTTTTTTTTTCCTTATAATATTTAGAAAAATATGGAAGAATAAAAAATTGGTTAGGTGGATTGATTTTGAATTGAGAAGATGACAGAATAAAACGAAGCAGCATTTTGGGCATAAAATAAAAAGGCAACTCACAAGCATTAACAGATTTGTACAGTTTATTGAGAAGGTAAATGATGAAATGTGTCAAAAGTGATTTGCAATGTTTTATGTTGGAGATTTCTCACTGAACTATGATACATGTTTGAATAGAACTGCTGAGCAATCAAATGAAGACATTATTTGAGAGGGAATCAATGTTAGATAATGCACAAAGGAAACAGGTAACATATCCAAATCAAGCAGTGTGCTTAATTTGCACCAGATTGGGTTATGTTAGTCAATTTGATGTGTGGTTTTCACATAAGCTTTAAAAAACAAACAAACAAACAAAAAAGAAGCACAATTGGGAGGTTCTATAATTAAAACAAATTATGATGACAGACATGAAAATAAACTACCTCTAACTAGACCAATTGTCACCCCAAAAAGCTGATGATGATGTGTACATAGTGGGACTGGAAGGAGACCTCTATTATGAACTCTTTTCAGAGAATTAAACAACTAATTCAAACAAGTACTGCTCCCAATAATATCATTTGAAAGCAGGAGTTGATGATAAAGATTTGCCTGGGATGATTACAGAAAAAAGGTGTAATATTCAGGACACCCAACTGCCTGTATATTTCTTTGGTAACCAGACAAAAACTGGTTCAGTTTTGTTGGAAATTTTCCATCTCCAGATTTTGAACTTTCAGATTATCATTTATTCTGTTTTTTATAAAATTGGCAAAAAAAAAAAAAATAAATAAATAAAAAAAAATTAAATTCCTTTTGATATTGTAAAAGGTATTATTTCTTTGCTGGGAAAGAGAAAACATTGTGATTGTTTTTTACAGTTTATCAATATTTTGAAAACATTCTGAGAGGATAGAATTATGAAGTTGCCTGAAAGATGGCAGAAGATAGTGGAACAGAATGGTAAGTATATTCTCCAATAAAGTTAATGATGAAAATAATACTTATTTCTTTTACTTAATAAATCAAAAGAAAGCTTATGTTGTGCAATAAAGAAGTTTATTTTGAGGAAAAGCATTGGAAATTATGGAATATTTTCTGCAAATCTAACTTACCTGTTGTGCACCAGAAATGCTGGCGTATACTCAGCCATTTCTGGACGGCTTATTCGATGAGGCATCAGGCATAAATCTATACATTTGCTCCAATCTCTTGGATAGTTTTTAGCAAATTTACCAATATCACATTCCAGGTCTTTCCAGATAACATCTGCCAAGAAAAGTTTAAAATCAAAATTATATTTATAAATCATTAAACTCAAGTTGCCAGTTATTTTTTTTTATATCACTACCTCAAAAGTAAATGAATTCAATATATTCTACTTAATGACTGTATACAGTTAAAGTACATTGTTATTGTAAGACTTTATTGAGACAAAGAAGCGTGTTGTTGACATTGCCATAATTTATCAACTAATATAAATTCTGGCAAAAGGAAAAAGACAGAGAGAGGAAGAGACTCTTCTCTTTCCTTAAGAATTATATGCTGGAAGATGAGAGTAGATGGAGTTGGGGTTTTTTAAAAGCCAGCATGTGGCTTTAACCCCCCCCCCGCCCATGTTATTGGATGCAGAAAAAAAAAAAAAATTATACCTACATTGAAAAGAAAGAACTAGCACTTGTGTTTGCAAATGTTTCATCAGTATCTGTACGGCAATTCTCTCTCCAGCCTATAATGATTAATTAGAGTATCGTATTGGGTTGAGCAACTGCCTTTCAGTATCTGTCTATATTTCTGAGATGAGGTATTATGTACACTATTTACATTATTCGGACTATTGTCCTCATCTTTGTCATCATATTTATCACGTTTCAGCCTTTCAGTACCTGTCTATATTTCTGAGATGATGTATGATGTACACTATTTACATTATTTGGACTATTGTCCTCATCTTTGTCGCCATATTTATTACATTTTGGCTGTGGTAAAAACATGCAATGATAACAGCAAAAAATTGCAATATGAGCACTGGTAAAAATGGTTGCTGAAGACATTAAGTTTATAATACTCAGAAATTCATACACAGATGTCCTTGAGGACATCTGTGTATGAATTTTACATGAAGGACACATGGCACAGTGGATAAAAGCATTGGTTAGATCCAGAGACAAGACCCAAAGAGTGTGAGTTCAATACCTAGTTAAGGCAGTGGAGAACTTTTAGAGGGAAATTAACAAGAGATAACTGACAACCATTAAACATGGCACATGGAGCTAGAACATTCTTACCCCAGTGAGTGAAATAAAGAGTTTAGTTTGACATTCCAACCACCTGAAGAAAGCCAGAGCATACAACGGCTGAAACGTTGTAATAAATATGGCGACAAAGATGAGGACAATAATCTGAATAATGAAAATAATGTACATAATACCTCATCTTAGAAATATAGACAGATAATACATAGTTAGTTTAAATGCCAAAACCAGAGATTGGTCTTAAAAAGACAGCATGCCAACCTGTATCTTGACAGCCACCAAATTCTACGTCAATGGTATTCTCTTCATCTGTGAGGAGGTCAAAACGTCCATTGATGTCTTTACGGCTGAAAGATTCCTTCCGGAATGTAAGCGTATGCATCATGCCATATCTTGAGGAATAAAGCAGACATTTGATGATATTCACATCAATCATTAACAGAGAAGACAGAATAGAAGAAAAAAATGACAATCAATATCATAAAAGAGAAGTTTAAATATGACAAAAAATATTTTAGTTTTTGTGGACATGAATCAAAACTGAACAGAAAATATTTGGAGAGATTAATATTTCAGCTTAAATAGCAATGTATAAATTCATTTGAGTAATTAATCAGAAAAAAGCAGTGTTCTTAATGTTTACTAACCTGGCAACAAGGCTAAGAATAAAGTGTAAAATTTCTGCCACAGGAATAATGTCATCTTGATATTCAATTACTTTTGCCTCTGGCCATAGGGAATAAGAATCCAGACAAATAACAACATATGCCAAGTTACCACCAATCACCTTATAGGGACCAAACAAATCGACTTCAACCTAACAAAAGAAAAAGTACACAAACAAAGAACAAATAATAAAAAAAGTCTTACAGAGTTACAATTTAATTTTAATTATTCGTTACCATATAATAATTATCTTAATGAACAGATTAGAAGCACAAAAAAAAAAAAAAAAAAAAAAATCTAAAATTTAAAGTTTCATAACTGAGATGATAGAACATAATGAAAAGAAAACAGCTGCAAGAGGTAATGGTTAACAAGCTAGTCCAACAAAGAAGTTTTACTGTATGGTAATTTTGATGTTCACTGGCTACCCTATACTTATAGCCTTGTTCCAAATTAAAAGAAACTTACTAAATACATTTTGGCTTACTAAGTCAAGTGTTCAAGTAAAATTCAATATTTTGAATGCTAATTTTCAAAGCAGACCCCAAGGTTTGACCTGGCTTCCTGCTAGATTCTTCTTTACACACCGTGGGACATAGACTATGATGCCTCTCCACAATTTTCTGTTTTTTATAGCACTTAATAAATTTTGTCTCTTTATTTCTCTTAAACCTTTTCCCATCATCTATTTTCTCAAGCTCACCAGGTACGTTATGCATTGTTTTCCTCTGTCCCTCTCGCCTTCAATCTGTCCTGTGAGTATCACATTTTACAAGCCCTCTTTCCTCATTAAAAATTTCAAATGTTAAGTTTCCTTTGTTTCCATTTTCTCTAAAACTTTGCTGTTGCTCACATATTGGTCTATGGTATCCTTCTATAGAACCACATTTCTGTTGCTTTAAGTTTCTTCTTCATAAATATCTATAAAAACAATCTAATTGACCAAAAATTTTGGTAGCCATCACAGGATGTGCCAAAAATAGAAGCTTTAATATTTTCCTAATTTGCCAAAAAAAAAAAAAAAAAAAAAAAAAAAAAATCACCACCATACCCTACTAAATTTTATACACAAACTGTAACAATTATTGTAGGTTAGAAATAATATTTAATGGAACTCTTTAATCAACAAATCTAATGCATTCATCTATCAGACTTTTAAATTTGCACTTTTGAACTGAGGATCACTGAAACTAATTGGTTAATAGATTTGCTTTACAAATACATTGATACTTCATCATATTACTTAAATCAATTTACAAACTAATTTTTCTATTTCAAAATAAAATATAAAATTGTCCATGTGACAGATTCATTATATATTATCAATCTCAGTAAATAATCAATGTTTGTATATGATCACATTGAAAAAAAAAAAAAAAAGTTTCTCAAGAAATCATAATGTGAATTTAAAAGAACAAAACTCACAATGGTGTTATGATACAAATTCATAACAGACTTTACAAACATCTAACATTTCAACACTTGTCAATAATAATAATAATAATAATAATAATAAAAAAGAGTAAAAAGAGCATTTTGTTACCTTTTGCCAAAAGTGAGTGATAACCTCTCCAATATTCTCTGAGAATGGAAGAGCAGCCATAAGCTCAGCCACATGCTCCTCTCTCTCAGACGGAGTCTTGCCTGCAGGTGTATTCTGAACACTGGTGCCATGCCGGTATGCTTGACAAACTGGACATTCTTTGATGTATGTCCGGACAGTCTCAATGGTTTTAGCCAAATAGTAAAGGTCACTGAATTCCTTTAGTGTTTTGTCATAAGATCGATGATTTCCTGCAAAGACAATAGGTTGAAATAAAACAAAAAAAATGTCATGTGCTACAAAGAGATGTGCATTACATTTACAAATCGGATGAGTCATGTGCTAAACATAGACACTTGTAATCACAATAAAAAAGTATATAGTTAAATTGTGTGTGTCGCAGAATTAACTGAACTCTCTTTATTATTCAATGACCTTAGAGAAAGAAGAAAAACAAAAACATTCCAAAGTATAACGCAACCAGGAAAAAAAAAAAAAAAAAAAAAATGTGTTGCCCAAGTGACAAACAAGGTTTTTATAAAGTTAGGAATGGTACAAGTCATTTTAAAAGCAAATCTTACAAAGGCAGAAATGTCCAATTCTGTATGAGGCAATATATAGCAAAATAAAAAATTTGCAAGAAAAGACTGAATATTTTTTTTTAAAGTTCATAATGGGAATAATTTACCAAGCAATAAACCAGCTCGGACCATTCAAAATAATAATTTAAAAAAAAAAAAACAAAAAAAAACAAAAAAAAAAAAAAACAAACTTTTTTTCGCTTACAAAATACAAAAATTAAAATATAAAAGAGGTTGAAAGTTAAATTTTCTTTAAATTTTCAAATTATTCTTCTAAACCCTAGAATTGTTTGGTAAATACAGATGTGTCTCAGGAAACCTTGAATATTGTACAATCTCTTTGGTCTCATTTGCTAGAAGACAATGGATATAAAATTAAAATTAATTAGCCTAATTAAAAAATAAATTAACAGATGCGCATGTTAAGCCCAAGAGTAATTTTAGGATTAATTCATACTCTCAAACTATCTGTACATACAATGTATAAAAAGGATTTTTTTTTGTGCAATAAAGAGTTCAGTTGAATCCCTCACTCCCAACCTCAGAGCTAAACTGGCCATAACCAAAATATTTCTAGTGACAACTTCTTCCTCACTTCAACTGCAAACAATGTCTGTGTGTTTGCGTGTGTGTGTGTGTGTGTGTGTGTGTGTGTGTGTGCCTAAGCATTTTGGGACACCCAAATTTGTTTCTTTGATAAAGAGAAAAATACTATTAAATAACTTCATATATGTACCAAAATGTTCCCCCGATGCCATTACCTTATTTTATTTTTTCTTTATAAAATTTAGTTAAAAGAATTATCAATCAATGCCATTCTATCAATATTATGATTCTATTCTTTGAATAGCAAATGATTTTGACAGTTTCCTTTTAAATTCAATTACAAAATCACTTGTATTTTATCTATTTATAAAAAAATCAATATACCATATATATACTTGTGTATCATGCAACTTTTGAAGATCTAATTTTAAGGTGGACAACATCATAAATAAGATATAAAATTAGTGTTATGTACTCTGCTGGTCCTGGCTACACTGTTGATCAAACTATATACCCAGTTACTGTAATCAAAAAGTACAGCTGTATTTAAAATAAACATTGCATGTTACATGAGTATATACAATACATATCTTTTTTTTCTTTAATTAAAGATTGATTAGAATCCATTTTCCCATGAAAAAACATTTAAAGTAATGCTGCCATATTTGTCCTCCTCAGGAATATTTTGAACACAATAATGAATAGATAATGAAAGAAATAAATCCTGAACATATAAAATATTATGAATATTTGATCAAGATCAATGCAGATATTTTTTATAATCTGGAGAAAATTTAAAGATCATTCAAAGAGATTTTTGCACAAATGCATTTTCTTTATTCTACATTTTCAGACAATCCATTTTACAGTTCCCTTACTGAGTGTCTTAAGTACACATTACTTGACCCAGGGATTGAACTTGTAACCAATACTTTTATTTATTAGGCTATTGTACTCAATGGAAACAAGTAAGAAAATAACTGAACGGTACTAAATAAAATAAGAACTAGATGATGTTAACAAGATGACACATGTATGAAAAGAAATGCATTACCTTCCCACCAACCCATTACCGCTATGCAAAGCGAAAGAGGAACATTTAAGCATTACCAACAATATCTGTAAAATAATTTTCTTTTCTTGGCAAAATAAATAAAAAAAAAAAAAGGTCAGAGGGTAAAAACAGCCAAAACACTAGGATTCAAATTTTAGTATATAATAACATTGTCATGTAGCAAAGACACTATTTACTACAATCAAAGGCCAAAGGATGTAAGTTGTCTCTTCTCTATGTCATCTATGTTTTTCTTTCAATAGCTAACTTTATGAACCATAAATTAATTTTGATATAAATTCAATAAACATTTACAGTGATGAATTTTCAAATATTTATTTCAATACTAGTAATGATACCTGATGTGGCATGGGTCAAATTACTTTCCTTTACAAGGTTTTGATAATCAGCCATTTGATAGATTTGTGTATGGTAATTAAAGCAGTTTGATTGAGTGAAACATTTTGGTTGTCAATTATTTTATAGCAAGTTGTAACATTATAATAATATTTGTTAAGTTTTCAAAACAAACTAGTAAGAAATGACAACATTATTTTGCACAATAGTTACATAAACACAATATTATATATTGAATTTTCAGGGTTTCAAGCAGATACATACAAACTGTGTGTGTGTGTGTGTGTGTGTGTATGAATATGTAACTTGATATTTTGTTTTTCTATCTAATGTCATCATGTAGGAAATTAGTTCTTTTCATAAAGAAACTGATATAATTTGAGTGAAACAAATGAAGATGTTATTTTTTTATATTTACTTTAGACAATGGGGTTATTTTCTTTATGTAATTGTTTGCTACCCTATGGGTTTTGTAGACTTGATATGAACATATGAAAATTATGAAATGTTATAGATTGATAGTGAAGTTTCAACCCATTAATATATACATAAAAGAATTATTTACATACAAATTTTGCAGTTAACAATATAGGACTTTGTTGATTTTTTTTTTTTTTTATTTCCTTAAACTTGAAGAAAAAAAAAAAAAAAATCACTCGTTTGAAAAACTGATACAACAAACTGGAATTCTAATTTCTTATCAATTAAAAACTTAAACATGAAATAATTTCCTTTGTAGTATTTGCTCACCAACCTCATCTCAATGTTTCATTGTATTTTTAGTCTAATCTCATCCAACCAGGTTTTAATTCTCAAAATAAATTTGTATTGTTCAAAATCAAAAGTTAGGCTATTTCCAATTTATACAATGAAAAAAAAACAAAAAAAAAACGTTTTTATTTCATTAGCTGATTCAAATGGGATTTACTCCTCTTGCATTTGCCTTGTGATCAGTTTTCATTTTCTTATGTTTATTACTGGCCAACTCTCAATAGTCATAGCCAGAAAGTAGCAGTAGTTTGACTTGAGAATTTTGCTTCTCTTAGACTGTGACTCTCACCCAAAGCAAGGCACAGACTCTCAGTTTTCCCTGCTATTTAACCCCAGGCCTGGGTAGGAGGAAGAGATTGACATTTTCCAAGGGCATCAGGATGATGAAGTGGGGGAGGATGTTCTTGTAGTGTAACAGTTATTGGCAAGGTGAGTTCAAATTTCAGCTTATTATGCTGTGCTCACTTTCACACTAATACACTTTTCTCCCAACTATAGGTTAAATAGTGGAGTAGAGTGGGTAGAAGCCAGGTTAGGAGAAGCACTATCCTGAATTCAAAAACCATGGAAAAGAGGATGGCAAACTATTTCACTACATTTCCCCCAAAAAGTGATGGCAATGCACAGAGAATAAAGGAAAAGGAAACTGGCAAGAGCCATGATTACCTTGAGATCAAGTGACATTCTATTAAAAACAATGTGAAGTGAAAATAATAGACATGGTCAGAATTTGAACCCTACAGGCAAATTCTATGCTGAGAACCATTACATAACCTGCATACCCAAAAAAGGTTTTTTTTTAAAAAACTGTTTCCAATAACAATCAAAAAGTTAATTTTTTTTTTATTTTAATCCTAAAACAAAATCATTTTACACCGAGAAACATTAACTGATATTTTGATTTCTTGCCAGCCTTTAATCGTTAAATCCAACAAATACTTTACACCATTAATCCAAGCTGAAAAGCTGCCACGTCTTCATGAGCCAAATAGACTTATTCTGTTGACATCATTTACATTAATTCTGGACCACTGACAGTGCCCTTTTCCCTGATTTTCAATGCACAACATAGAATGAGTACCAAAATTTGTTCAAACAAAGTTTTGATGATAATAAAAAAATGATGCAAAAATGAGTGCTTAATCTTTAAAAAAAAAAAAAAAAATGGCATTAAATATTTATTTACTTTGTAACGATAAGAAAAAGCTTGCCTATTTATAATGTATTAAAATCATTATTTCTAGGAAGCCGTGAATAACATATTTAGTCAAAAACCCAGAATGCACAACAGCAGCATTTTTTTTATTTTTTGCAATGTAAAAAAAAAAAGAAAATACTCAGATTAGGTATTCCAAACATTGTTTTTTTTTTTTTAAATTATTCTACTTGTGTCTCCCTACACACATTAAAATTGTACAATTTTAAATAAAAATAAAAAGGTACTTGTCAATTTGGTAGGCTTAAGATTTGAATTTGTCTTCCATAAAAAATTTCCAAGTTGAAAATAGTAGTGAAAGAGAAGGAAAAAAATGTAAATTGCAGATTTTTGAAGAGCAATGTCTTGGGTTTAATAATCAGTTGCCAATATAACTAGATTAGGGGAATAAATTTTCCAATCATGGAATTGTTAGTCTTAAATGGAATCTGGGTTTTTAATTTAATTTTCAATAATAAATTAATTTGAATTTTTTCAAACATTTTAATAAATATCACAATAACATAACAGTTATTTCCTTAAAACTTGTTTTTACAAATCTTTGTAGTTATTTTCCTTATAAAACCCAAAAAATAATTAAGAACAAATGTTTACATGAAAAAAAGAAAAGTGGATTGTTAATTTTCTGAGAATATATTGGCTACTCTATTTTTAAATATTTTACAACTAATCTAAGAAACTGTATGTTGCAAATGAGATAAAAATCTGAAGTTCACAGCTCGGTTG